CAAGCTTGGGGGAAGAGAGTCTACCAGTAGAGAGAGAAGAAGGGATTAGTGGGGGTGATATAGGTTAGAACCTCACCCTAACGTGACACCTAACAAATATTGATTAGCCGGTGAAGTAGAGCTATGGACGTAAGAGAATTTGAGAGCCAGAAAAAGCGGTTGATAGTAATCCTGAAATGGCCATGAGTAAAGCTGGGGAGGCAGGGTCTTGCGTACAAGAGCTGGCTGCTGCCGGTGCTCAAATACTGTTTGGATGGGAACTGTCATCCAGGACTGGTTTTTCCCACCTCCCAAAGACATCATGATGCCCCTGATATGAGGAATGCTGATTCCAGAGAGTTGTCTCAATAAAATTGAGTATAATCCTGGAGCGAGTGGGAGCTTTTCTTCAGTCACCTGTAATATGAGTTTTCAGTTTGGGTTTTGTTATAGTTCTCATTATGTATGTCTCTCTAGCATATCTGTCTAGCATATCTATCTGTCCATCTCTCTCTCTATCTATCTATCTATCTATCTATCTATCTATCTATCTATCTATCTCTGTATCTATCCATCCATCCATCCATCCGTCCATCTGTCTGTCTATCTATCTACCTAATTAGCAAATATGTCTTCAATCAAAGTAGCTAGGATGAGGTCCTGGCCCATCTAACCATTTCTTGTGAAGCTAATATAATTTTTACTTTTCTGTAAAAATAATGAAGGCCTTTGATTTTATACTGTACTTCTCTGGACTCTTTAGGATTCCATTGGAACGTTTCCTTTTCTCCCATATGGAATAGTGGTGTCTTGGTTTTGATTATAAATATTATACATAAGTATTTTACTCTCATACATTTATATACCTCAAACTTGCCATCTGTTGGTACTGGACACATGAGTTTGGCTTTCATCATGTTGATTTATATCGCTTAATTTTGTTATTTCACTTGGCAGTGAAGAGACTATTTTTTCCCCGGGTGGAAGTTAAACTGAATAACAACAACAACAAAAAATTAAAAATAATTTTTTAATTTATTATTTCATAAATAGATTAGGCAGAAATTCTTAAACGTGAGCAAATGGATAATTTAATCAGATAGAACGTATATTGGAAATAGAGTTAAATAGAAATACCAATGCTCTGAAAGTTCTTACATTGAATGGAAGCATTTCCAGTTGATTTGTCACAATTCGTTTACTAGCGGGATGCATAAAGAAAGCTTTGTGGGACGCCTGAGTGGCTCAGTCGTTAAGCGTCTGCCTTCAGCTCGGGTCCTGATCCCAGGGTCCTGCTCAGCGGGGAGCCTGTTTCTCCCTCTGCCTGCCACTCCCCCTGCTTGTGCTGTCTCTCTCTCTCTCTGACAAATAAATAAAATCTTAAAAAAAAGAAAGGTTTTTGATGTAAAGTTGAGAGGATACCCCGGTGAGAGTAGTAAAGTAGGTAGAACCAATTAAATGAATTAAAGGACTTGAAAATTATGAGAAATGAATCAGAGGCATGGCAAAATCTGACATTTTAGCAGGATCGCAGTGGCTGCTGTAATGGGAAAAGACAGAGGTGGGGGTGGAGTGCCAGGGGAGAAGAAGGGAGACCAGCTGGAGGCTCCATAATAATCTAGGCAAAAATGTTAAAGATCAGTTCAGCACCTGGCATGGGGCCTGGCACAAAATAGTCATTCAAATAAAAGTCCTTGTCAAATGAAAAAAAGTCATCTAAGATGATTCACTTTGCATGCTTTATTCTTCTTCACATAATAATTTTCATTTCTCATAATTTTCAAATGAAGATTCTCCTGGATGGGCCTGACTTAATCAGTGGGAAGCCCTCAAGGAGGGACTGGGGTCCTCCTTGGGGTCAGAGATGCTCTCCTGATGGCCTTGAGGAAACAAGCTGCATGAGTTCTGTACCTGCAAGAAAATGAATTTTCCAACAATTTGAAATACTTGGAAATGGGTTCTTCCCCAGTCACGCCTCCAGATGAGAATGCACCTTGACTGACACCATAATGGGTGGCTTGTAAGACTCTGAGCTGAGGATCCAGCTAAACAGCCTGGACCCCTGATGCACAGAACTACGAGATAATAAATATGTGTTGTTTTGAACCTGGGAGTTTGTGGTCATTTGTTCACAATAGAAAAACAGTACATGTATTTCATTCCTAGTCCCTCCTAGTGCTGATCCTTTTTTGGTTCTCTCTTGTGTCAACAGTGGAGGTCTGGGGTAAATTCAAGCTCTGTTCTCTCCGAGTTTAGCTTCCTCATTAGGAGTCTTCTCTGAGTCTAGCTTCCTCATTAGGTCCCTTTTCTACAGAGAGCAGATCTTGTGCTGTGACTTGAGGACATGTCACTACTGCCGGTTGTGCCTTTTATTTCTTTACTTTAGGAATTGGGAAGAGGAGAAGCCTAACTTGCAGATGTTGTAAAGGCACCTGTTTAATGAAAGACCCTAATGATCACCCCCTTACCTACTCCATTTCTTTGAATTTGTCGATTCCAAGCTTGGAGCACTGGCCACCTTGGTGGGAACCGTGCTTATGCAAGGTGTCTCCTTGTGTGGTTTCCTCTACTCTGAATTTCCCACCACTCTGATTCTGCTTGGTCTTTCTCTTCATGGAATTTCTTACAACTTCTGATCTGTTGATGGCATATTTTCCTGTTTTATAATGCTGCTGTGGTTTCATTCTTTAAACAGAAAATAATTTTCCTAGCACTTCAGTGGGGGCTTGGAAGTGAAGGGAGACAGATGTTGGTAATGAGTCTGCATGAACTCACCTGCACAATCTGGACTGGACTTTTTATAAGAGAAAACAAATACTGTTTTGCTACCTAACACTGATTTAATATATTTTAATAAATTTGGCATATTTCTAATAAAATCAAGGAGAAAGGGCAGAATTTTTATTATAATAACTACTTTTCTCAAGTTCTATCATTTCCTCCTTTTAAAGTTCCTAAAAGCCTATCTCTATGAAGACTCTGCTCTTTTTTTTTCTTTTTTTACCCTCCTCCCACTTACACTTACATAGCCTTTCTCTCTACTTTCTTAGGGTGATTTCTTAGAACAAATGACTTTAAAATATTGCTGACACTATGTTTGTTTCCTAACACTAATAGCACACATGATGTAAGTGCTGAGGATGTTGAGATAATTGAACTAAAATTATGATTTTAGAATTGTTTTAAGACTCTTTTAGTTCTGGGCGCCTGGGTGGCTCAGTTGGTTAAGCGACTGCCTTCGGCTCAGGTCATGATCCTGGAGTCCTGGGATCGAGTCCCACATCGGGCTTCCTGCTCAGCAGGGAGTCTGCTTCTCCCTCTGACCCTCTGCCCTCCCGTGCTCTCTCTCATTCTCTCTCTCTCTCAAAAATAAATAAATAAAATCTTAAAAAAAAAAAAAAAGACTCTTTTAGTTCTAAGTAACACAAACCTACTTCAAACTAGTTTAGGTTACAGAGAATTTATTAGACAGAAATTGTAATATTTCACCGAACCCAAGAGTAAAAATTATATTTAGGTATCATGAGGATGTGGAGCCAGAAACTAGAAAGTTGGTAGAAACCCAGATAGTTGTTACCTTTCTGTCTCTCTAATCTCTGTTTTCGTGAACATCTGCTTACTTTGTTTCTCAGCTGACTCACTTTGTTTCACATGGGTATGGCCAAATATGGCTGCCCAACAATGATAACCAGGGTTTCCAAGCTTGTATCGTATCAGTTCAAGCAAATAAATAAGAGGCAGAATGCCATATTCCAAGGAGAAATATGAATTGGTTTAGCTTGGGCCAGTTATCTCTTTTTAGACCAGTGTAATGTAGTCATGAGGACAGATTTTGTGGTATAAACATGGCTGCTATGGCCCAAGTTCTCAAAGACGCAAGAGGTAAGTGAGTGCAAAATTGGGCAGATATCTCAAGAGATGTCTGCTACAACATTCTTGTGTATATCCAGTGTGCTATTTCTTATTAGAGAGACAGTTTAGCTTGTGGTTAAGAACATAAGCTTAAGGTCTAACATAAATTGATTTGATTCCAGCCTGGCCACCTACTAGCTGTGTGACCTCTGTGAAGATTAAAATCTTTCTGTGTACAATTGGAATGATAAAGCCTATCTCCTGGTTGCTCGAGGATAAAATGAGAATATATATGGTACATCCAAGCACTTAATAAATAGTAGTTATTAATTGTTACTATTATCAGACCATTTGGGAAATGGAGGAACATACATTTTACTACCTCAAAGGGTGCAAGAAGATCTAAAGGCAAAATTCCATGTGCTACAGAATTACATAGTCAATAAAAATCTAAGAGAGAGTTTTGCCTTTACCACACTTGACCAAAAGAATGGATACCAGTGAGGCAGATGGTGTTAGGGCCCAAGAATCTACACTTATTTTTAGAATGAAATATTAGCTTCTATTCATTTTTGAAAGAGGTATCGATGGTCTCACGATCCTAAAGAGAGCCAAGCAGGTGGTCACTGGAACAGGCATCATAGTTCTTTTGAGCCAGTCCCTGTTTTGATGGTCCCTGCATTCATTCCACTTGGTGGCTGGTCTGTTCTGATTGGCTAGTGACTTATCATAACAGTGAAATATTTTTGAACATCATCCCTCAAAACCAGGTGTGTACCATCAATTCAAAGACTTCAGTTTTTGTTAAAGGAGATGCATCTTTTTCTTTATAAACAATAGATTTCTTTTGCAGTTTTCTGATGTATATGTTAAATGGTAGGTGGCAGCCATTCTTTAAATGAACTCACTAAAGGATATGTAAAATGGTAATGATCCAAACTCTATATAGTTAAATGAACTCATAGCTTAGTAAAGGATATGTAAATGATGATTTGAATTCTGTATAGTTAAATGATACCAAATGTCAGCCAAAAGTTAATATTTACATTAAGTAGAGCTAGCCAACAAACTACATTTATGGTTTCTTTTTAAAACATAATGTATGCTGTTCTATATGAAATTACAGGAGAACAGTATCTCATTGACTAACTGTGTAATTTTCTCTTAAGTTACGCAGACATTCTGATTGAGAGGGAAGTGTTAATGCAGAAGTATATTCATCTAGTTCAGATCGTAGAAACAGAAAAAATTGCAGCTAACCAGCTCCGGCATCAACTTGAAGATCAAGATACAGAAATTGAAAGACTTAAATCAGAGGTACTTCCCAGTTGATAGATTCTTCCCCATTGTTTCACATTTATTGTCGTCTCCTCATAATTACATAACCCCTGTGTAGGGCAAGATTTTAATCCTAAACTTAGTTCCTTTGCCATCAGCATGTACATGGTCAGACTACAGATCTATGCTAGAAAGGTATCTAGTCTGTTAGGATTTGAGTAAATATGCTACAACAAAATATCAGAGTAATATGCTGCTTTTTAAATATTTTGTGCTCCTGATGTCCTTCATTTGAGCAGATAGCCAAGAGCTGACTCTAGTATATAATTGTTTGTAGACTGACTATTGTAGTGATGATAACTGTGAATCTCTCATAGATTCAGTTAAACTCCCAAATGGCAACTAAGGAAGGACCAGAAATGAAGCCCGGAAGACTTTGCTGCTTCTGTATCTAAGGAGTCCAACTTTCTCCCCTCTAGAATTTTGGAAAAGCACATTTGAGTTAAAGTATAAGACATTTTCTAGGGTACACTTTTTCCTGAATTTGGCATTCCTGCCTCCCTCCACCCCACCCCTCACCCTCCTAAGGTGAACTTCTTAGGCCTTGTACCCCTGGATTATGAGATTGTGCCAAGTGAGAACAGAAGATGGTCATGGTGTCTACAGCCCTGGCGGTGGGCCTGGGTCCTCCCATGCTCACAAGTGTCTCTGTCTATATACAGAAAACCAAGGGTACTTTCCTTGCTGTCCTGTTATTCCTCATGGAAAGTGGTCAATAACTGAAGAACTGAAGAGGAATGTAGAAAACAAGATTTCCCCTCCTTTCTGACTAGGGGTACATTAGCATTTTCTTAGCTTCAAAAGAGAGGAATAGAACAGAAGGAAACCTACGACTAATTGTATCCTGTTGACAGAACAATTCAGGGTCCTCAGTCTTGGTGACTTTCTTGTCACTTTTACAGTCATTGGATGATATTTTCCTCTTTGTTTCCTCACTACCTTCCTCTAAGACATACTCTGAATCCTGTGAGGGGTTTTCACCTCCTGCTGCCTGTGTACATCACCTCCAGTTCACAGAGCAAGGGTATAAGCTGATTCCACCTGGGATCTGATAAGTTGCAGACCATGTTCACCATATCATTAGTGTTGTTAACTTCCCAGTTCAACCCTGAAATCTGATATAGCGAAAACAACAACAGAAAACTTAAGAAACCTGCATTTTAAAAGACTATATCAGGCACTGTAATTTAAAACAAAATTATTGTGTTCTTTCTTTGCCACAGTAAGCTAGAGCAGATGCTTTTCGGCTAAGTGAAAGAAGTTGGCATTTACTCCACAAGAGAAACTCAGCACCAAGCAATGTTCCCCAATCTTTATTTGTGCATGCTTATCTGTCTTCACTATGTTCTATTTTAGTCTGAATATAGATTGCAGCCCCAAACTGTCAGTAGCAGGTATGCCTTGTTTGGTCAGTTGGCAGGAACAATAATTTATTTCCTACTCCTTTTATTTTCCCACATCTCTGCCAGAAAATGGCAGAAATGTGTATTTGGTATTGGTGACAAAATGTAAAGACAGGTCAGAGGAATCAGTTATGACTCTTTTTAAATGTCTGCGTAGTAAATCTGTATAGGTTCTCACCTTTATAAGAGCCTGCAATCGAGTTGTAGTCTAGTGAATTTTATTAATAAGTATACTGGAGCGACCATCTGGTCTTGAGTTGCCCTTCACAGGCCACATAACTGAGCTAGAGATAAAAGAGATCCCAGGTTGTTTCAATCCTTTTTACCTTTTCACCTTTTCTTGGTTGGCTTGGATCAATCCCAAGACTCTGAAGTTCCTTTTGCAGTTACCATTTTCCCAAGGAATTTTGTGAATCTGCTGTACTTATGTGTACCTGGAAGGCTGCAGGCTCATCATGGGAAGCAGGAGCTTTGGCTTGAGTGGCATTGCATTTGGAGACCACAGGGCATTACAGGCAGCTGCCATCACGCAAGATGGCAGCATGCCACTCAGCTCCTGTGAAGGCCTTGGCCTACTCCTCACTGGGCCAAATTGTGGGCTAACATTTCTCCTAAGCCAATCCCAGTTCACACTTCCCACAGTCACTTCTTATAAGCACTTAATGTTAGCAACAGAACTAAACAGGCTTGTGGTGAAGTTCTTTCTTCCCCTGCCTTAGCACCAAAGGAAGAAAGGATGGATAAAAAAACGAAAAAGTTTCCTGAGGATCTCATAAACTACCTTGTAGGTATAACTTCCTATGAGTTAATGGCTAGAAGCCAATATTTCCCAAATCACGAAATGGACCAATTCTGTGTTCTAGATTATCGCTCTTAATAAAACCAAGGAACGAATGCGGCCTTACCAAAGCAATCAAGAAGACGAGGATCCAGACATCAAGAAGATTAAAAAGGTAGGTTTTGGGGGGTTTCTGGCTTTGGGGAAGCATGATGATCAGTTATCTGTCCTGTAGTGTTGTCTTTGCCACCTTGTCCCTGAGCTGAGAACGACCTTGGTGTATCTGTTCTAATGGCTCTCAGACTTACCCTTCAGCGTGATCCAGGTATGGCTACTTTGGAAAAGTTTCAGCTTGAGATTTTTTACTGGTTCTGGGAATCCCCTTTTGGACTCTGTGGGAAGGATGCCAAAACCAGACGTTAAAACAATAGTGTTCTCAAGTTGGGTTAAGTAAGTGCTGTTGAGCCTCCTGAATTTGTGCTGCTTTCATATTTTAGGGGAGTATTTTTTAAATGACATTTAAAAATATTTCTTTTAGATTTAGATTTCAGTGCTTATTTAGAAAGGATTTTTGTGAACATGTGAGAAGATTGACTAAATACATCTCAGATTTCTGTTTTATTATCGTTGTTCCTTTCTTGTTTAACTTCCACATCATCAGCAGATCTTTCTACTTCACTGTCAAGTATTACTGTACAGCTTTTGCACTTAACCAGACACTGGTGCTCACTCTGTTCTACTGTGTTTGATTTATGTCATCTAGGTTTTGAGTTCCATCATCTTAATTCTCTCATAAATCACCTACCCAGCTTTGTTAACATTATATGAAGAGCTTCGCAGTTAAAGAACGTTCTTTAGATACACATCTTCAGATCTTTATTTCATCTTAATTTTTTTCTTATTCCTGTTTTCCATGCTAAATAATTATTCCCCTTGAAATATTGCTTGAAAACTTGAAATATTGCTCAGAGTTTGAAATAGAAATGCTTCTTGGAACTAAATTACAGTGTTTTCAGTTTTTAAGGAATAAAAAGTGAAATAACACCATTCCCTTAGAATTTAAAAATTTTTAAATCGAATTTGGTTTATGTTGTTGTGATACAAGATTAATGCTGTTGCCTTTCTTTTCTTTTTTTTTTTTAAGGATTTTATTTATCTGAGAGAGAGAATGAGAGAGAGAGAGAGCATGAGATGGGGGAGGGTCAGAGGGAGAAGCAGACTCCCTACTGAGCAGGTAGCTCGATGCGGGACTCGATCCCAGGACTCTAGGATCATGACTGAACCAAAGGCAGATGGTTAACCAAATGAGCCACTCAAGCACCTGCCTTTCTTTTCAATAGTAATGAAGTTGTCTGTAAACAAAGATAACAGTAAAATACAATTTCCAGTTCTTTTTTTTTTGTAGAAACTGGTCTTTTAGTAAGTAAACCAGCTTTTGCCCAGCAGGCAATACCTAAGTAAAGGAAAGATTTTATTTAACACAAATTTCGATTAAGTTGATTTTTGAAAATACTTCTGTTAAATGGAAGAATACTGATAAATGCTTTTTACATTTTCTGCCTTCCTGTTTCTCAATAGAAGCAATTAAAAAATTATTTTTGAACTTGTTAAGTAGGTTTTGAAATCAATTCTATTGTCCTTTATGTCCCCATCAACCTAATGTCTGTGTGGAAAGGGGTGTTTCAGATGAATTAGTTTCTCTCTTCCAATCTTGCCAAATATCAACATAATTTTTTTTATCTTCAGGGAACCAAAAATTGAAATTTATCATATTACACAGAAACTTCCCATTAGAGTTCTCCAAATAATGTGCATATAACTTCCCCCACATAGTTCTATTAAAATGTGGTTAATTTTTATTGTTTGAAGCATGGCAACTGTATGAATGCCTGCATGAAAATTGACAGCATGATGACAACATTGGTAGGTAAATGAAAGAATTTTAAACATTGCAAAAGAAGAGTAGTTGTTTAAACACATGGTAATTTAGACTATATGGGTGAAATAGTAGGGAAAAAAAAGTGTAAGAATGTGTTGAACAGATAACAATGATACTAAAAGATTTGGGGTGTGCCTGTGTGGCTCAGTCAGTTAAGCGGCTGCCTTCAGCTCCGGTAATGATTCCAGCGTCCTGGGATCGAGCCCCACATCAGGCTCCCTGCTCAGCGGGAAGTCTGCCTCTTCCTTTCACTCTCCCTCTATGCTCTCCCCGCCCCTCTCTCAAATAAATAAAAATAAAATCTTTAAAAAATTGTTTAAAAAATAAAAGGAGATTTGGTAGTGATTTAATGCTTTCAATTATATGTGGATTTGCAACCTGCTTTGTTGCTGAATCTGCCACTTAGATATCACACACCCTAATAAATTATCATATAATTTTTTTTATATTTAGAAAGGACTTCAGATTGTTTTGGTCCATTATTTTGTAGGTGAGAGAATGGAAGACCAGAGTTCAGAGTTACCCAGCAGGTTAGTGCAGAGCCTTTGGGTTAAGGTATGTCTGGTTAGCACCCAGCATTTACCTGGACACTTGAAAGATGTTCAGTAAATACTTGTTGGCTAAAATGCACAGGCCAGTGCACTTTCTCAGGTTTGTCTGTTATTTTTCAAATCAAATTCAGATCAGTTTTAGAGGCTATCATGTTGTCTACAGAATTGATTTTTACTTATATTTCATGTTTCTTTTCACAAAATAATCTCCATTGCAAATCATTAACATGTGTTTTCTCCATGTGGCTGGGAGAGAATCCTTGCAGTTAACAAAAAGCAGGTAAAAGAATGCCAAGTCTGATTGCATCTTTCCTATGTGACTTACCACAAAATTTAGTTTACTTGTCTATAAATGGAAGGGATCAGATGAGCTGACGTCTAACACTTATTTTCTAAGCTTACCAAAAAAACCCCTCAATAACAACAAATCAAATAACCTGATCTAAAAATGGGCAAAGGACTTCAATAGACATTTCTCCAAAGATGAAATCATATACACATGATCTTTGGAGAAGTCATATACACATGAAAAGCTGCTCAGTATCACTAAGCATCAGAGAAACACAAATCAAAACCACAGTGCAATGTCACCTCACACCCATTAGGATGACTGCCATCAAAAAACCAGAACATAAGTGTTGATGAGAATGTTGAGACATTGGAACCTTTGTGCACTCTTGGTGGGATCGTGAAGTGGTTCAACTGCTGTGGAAAGCAGTATGGTCGTTCCTCAAAAAATTAAAAATAGAACTACCACATGATGCAGCATTCCCACTTCTGGGTATATATCCGAAAGAATTGAGTGTAGGATCTTGAAGAGATATTTGCACTCCCATGATCACTGAAGAACTAGTCACAATAGCCAAGAGGTGGAAGCAACTCACATGTATATCAGCAGATGAATGGATAAACAAAATGTACATACAGTGGAATGTTATTCAGCCTTAAACAGGGAGGAAATCCTGGCACATGGTACAGCATGGATGAACCTTGAGGACATTATACCAAGTGGAATTAACCAGTCACAAAAAGATAGATACTGTGTATATGAGCTATCTAAAGTGGTTAAATTCACAGAAACAGAAAGTAGAACAGTGGATACCAGGGGCTGAGGGAAGGGAGTAGTGGGGAATTGTTCTTCAGTAGGTATAGAGTGTCAGTTTTGCAAGACGAAGAAGGTCTGGAGATCTGTTGTACAACAATGAGAAATACTTAACGCTACTGAACTATACACTTAAAAATGGTTAGGATGGTAAATTTTAAGTTATGTGCTTTTTTACCACAATTAAAAATTTTTTAATATCTGCGTTTGTATTGTTAAAGAATAAACCTTCAAGTTATTCCTTTATTAAAAGGTTAATAAGTGAATATGTAATATTATCCTATTCTGGTGGCCATTCAGGCAGTCCTAAAGAGCTTAAGATAGGGAAGAAACTTGTGAAGCTGAGAAAAATATCATTTTTAAATCCGCTCTTTGACTGTTATCTGGAAAAGCCTGCCATTGCTTATTTTAGTGTTGTGACCATTAACGCACTAACAAAAAAGCAGTGTTTTATATGGCACAGGGTGGAAACAATCCTCACAGCTCCCTGAGATCTTTCTGTTGTTGTTTTGTAGGTTCAGAGCTTCATGAGAGGATGGTTGTGTAGAAGGAAATGGAAGACTATTGTGCAGGATTACATTTGTTCTCCTCACGCTGAAAGTATGAGGAAGAGAAACCAGATTGTGTTCACCATGGTTGAAGCCGAGTCGGAGTACGTTCACCAGCTCTACATCCTGGTCAATGGCTTCCTCCGGCCCCTGAGAATGGCGGCCAGCTCCAAGAAGCCTCCCATCAGCCATGATGATGTCAGCAGCATTTTTCTCAACAGGTTTGTCTTGGCATAAATCAAAGAGTCATGTGAAAAAGGCATATCTATTTCTTAAAAGAATTTTTACTTTACTCTTAAAAGAATAGGTATCATAAATTCACCTTTACGAATGTGTGATATTGAAAATAAGAACACTGTCATTTGTGTTTCATTATTTGTCCAAATTTACATGTCTTTATCTTGCATCATGGCATCTAGTTTTCTGGGTTTTTTCCTCTATTTGACATATGTTTTCTTGTCATTGTGTGGGCATGTATGTATTGGGAAAGATAACCTCCTTCATAAACTGAGGGAAATGGAGTGAGTAATGGGTCTTTACATGTAATTTATACAGACGTATTTTAGAAAGAACAATAACTAACAGAGGGCCTGAGAATCTGTAGCAAATTTATTTTCCTCAGTAAATATATATAGTGTCCTTCCTGCTGAGGTTTCGTCAGTGAGCAAAGTAGAAATCCTTGCCTTCATGGAACTTAAATTTCAATGTGGGAAGAGAGACAATGAATAGTGAATAAGTGAAATATGTAGTATATTATGTGGTAATGAGTGTTGTGGAAGAAATCAAGATGGGGAGAGGAGAAGGGGAGAAAGGGGGTGCCTGGGTGTTTTATGTAAAATTTAGTAATTTATTTATTTTTGAATACATAATACATGTACATTGTTCAAAATTCAGAACAACAGGAAAACATTAAATAACTCTTACTTTGTCTCTGCCCACCCCATTTCCCCCATTTTCTGTATTTAACCATTTTCACTAGTTTCTTATATATCTTTCTAGTGTTTCTTGATGTAGATCCAATCAAATATGAATATAGTGTTATTTTCCCCCTTCTTACACAAAAGACAATGAACTTTAATATGTACTTGCCTTTTTCACTTTTTTTTTATTATATTGTTAGTCACCATACAGTACTTCATTAGTTTTTGATGTAGTGTTCCATGATTCATTATTTGTGCATAACACCCAGTGCTCATTGCAGCACGTGCCTTTTTCACTTAACAGTATATTCTAGACATCTTCTGATATTGACATCTAAAGAGCATTCTGTTTTTTTAAAAATCACTACATTGTTTTACATTATGTGAATGTGCCATAGTTTTTCGCTAGCCAGCCTTTGGAAAGGCCTCAAAGATAAGTTGATATTTGAATAAAGAACTTTATCAGTTAGGGCTGTAGGATGAAAACCAGCAGAACGGGTTGTCCTGGGAACCAAGGCAAGAGAGAACGAACTATGGCAAAATGGTCAATTAAGTGATAACTGAACTGACCGTGGGTTTAACACAGAGCCTACTGGTAACTTTGATGAGGGGCCAAAGCCTCATTGGAGGGGACTTAGGAGAGAATGGGGGGAAGGATAATAATTGGAGAGAGTTGGTATCAAAAACTCAGTGTTGCTATAGAGAGGAGGTAAATGTAAAAGTATAAAAAAGTCTGTGTGTGTTTTAAGATGGGATAAAAATTACACTTGATAACAAGGGGGAAATGATGTAGGTAGAGAGGGGAAATTGCTGGAGCAATAAACTTGCATAGACAAAAGTGGCTAGAACATGGTGTTCAAGTCAAGCTCGGAGCACAGAGAGGGAAGGAACAGTGCCTTGACACATATGTCATTAGGAAGCAAGGACAAGTGGTGACAGTGCTGATAGAAGGAAAGTGTTGGGGTTAGATAAGAGAAGAAAGCTGTAAAATAATGTAGTGTAATTGTTAGGCAGCTGGAAGAGCCTATATTACTCTATTAAGCTGGTGGTCATGCCTTTGCAGTGAGACTAGTCAGGATGGTTGTGTTTTTCTTTAGCCACTTTCAGCTGCATGGGTGCAGGTGCAGAGTAGATGGATGGTTGGCTTATTGCTGTTGCATGAGGCTAATATGATGAAATGAGAAATGAATAGGGGAGTTGAAGGTATATGCAAGGAAGAGATTATAACAATGAGCCATGGAATCTAAACTGTGTGGAAAGGGAAATGATGGTGTGAGGGGGTTGTGATCAGTGATAAGATGACAGGATCATGGCTTATGGTCCTGGTGATGTGAAAGGATTTATAGAGTCAGAATTCTAAAGGAAGTGAATTGAAGGATAAGGAGGTGGTCAGAGAATAGTTTGCTTGAAACTGAGATAGGAAAGGGATGTAGTTACTGACAATGACAAGGTCTAAAGTATAATCAAGGGAGTGTTGAGGTCAATGAAGGGTAAGATCCTTAGAGGAGAGGAGTTCAAAGGCCCTAGACGCCAGGATATTGGAATGTTGTTTTTTTGTGCATATTAGAGTTGCCCAGAATTACGACAGGAGTAGTGCTGGAGAAAGGACTGCCAGCGAGCTGGGAACTTGGAGCCCAGAACTCAAGGCATTAAAAGAGTGGCTGGGGAGAGTTCTGCTCCAAGATGGTGATGTAGGAAGACCCTAAACTCACCTTCTCAATGGAAAACAACAAATTACACCTGTTAATATAACAGTTCTTCTCAAAGAAGACCTGAGGGCTTGACTGAACAGTTTCTGCACACCCAAAGCTAGAGAGAAGGGCAAGAGAGAGGAAGACATGGTAACAAAGGGACTCAACCCTTGATGCTGCAGACAGCAGTGGGACTGGGTAGTACTGAGGGGCCAGGGACAGATTCCTCTGTCCTTGGGACAGAATGAAAGCCACAGTTTAAAAGAGCAACTGGCATATAAAAAAGAGACAACGCTAGAAATTTGCTAAGTGGTGGAAGGGCCGCATGGGTGCTCTCCAAGTCAGAGGGACTGGAGAATGACACGGTTTATGTTCCCATCCCCCTTTTTTGTTTGTTTTTATAAAAACCTGGAAAAGTAACATATTAGTTTTGTTTGTTAACATGTTCACACACCTACATGTTTGGCTGTGTACTGCTTTAAGGAAGTAACTTAAGTGTCCATCAATATACCAATGGATAATAATACACACACACACACGCACACACACACTAGAATATTACACAGCCATAAAAAGGGATGAGATTGTGCCATTTGAAACGACGTGGATGGACCTGGAGGGTGTTATACTAAGTGACATAAGGCAGACTAAGAAAGAAAATACCATATGGTTCCACTCAAAAGTGGGATCTAAAATTAAATAAATAAGTAAGCAAAAAGCGGAATCAGACCTATAAATACAGAGAACAAACTGATGGTTGCCAGAGAAGAGGTGGGTGAGGCGCTGGGCAAAATGGGGGAAAGGGAGAAGGAGATACAGGCTTCCAGTTATGGGATGAGTAAGTCATGGGAATAAAAAGCAAAGCAGAAGGAGTACAGTCAGTTGTATTGTAATAGTGATATAACGGGACAGATGGTAGTGAGCATAGTATAATGTATAAACTTGTCAAATCACTAATTGTACACTTAAAAGTAATGTAATATTGTGTATCAACCATAGTAAGAAATTTTTTTTTGAAGAAAAAGACCAAAAATTTTTGCCATATATTTTAATTCGGCTTTTTAAAGAATTAGGCTTTTTTGCATTTATCTTGTTTTATTTTCTTTTATTATTGAAGTATAATTGACATGCAGTGTTATATTAGTTTCAGATGTACAAGGTAGTGATTCAACAATTCTATACATTACTCAGTGTTCAACAGGATATGTGTACTCTTAATTCCCTTTATTTTACCCATCCCCAAGCCTGCGTTTAAGTTATTGCCAAATATGAGATAAAGGTTATTTTCCCTAGGTTTTTATAAAGTGAAAACCCTATAAGGAAGATTTTAGGGACTAAATCATAGATCACAATTAAAATGCATTTAAATATTTAATAAGGCACAGCTGGGGGTTTATAGATGATTGCAAAAAGAGTGGTTGATGGATGGTAACTTGTTTTTTTTTTTTAACGATTTATTTATTTATTTGAGAGGGGAGGGGCAGAGGGAGGAGGAGAGAGAGCATGTCAAGCAGACTCCACACAGCGCAGAGCCCATCTTGGGGCTTGATCTCAAGACCCTGAGATCACGACCTGAGCCGAAACCAAGAATCAGACACTTAACTGACTGAGCCACCGGGTGCCCCGGATGGAAACTTTTTTTTTTTTAAAGATTTTATTTATTTATTTGAGAGAGAGAATGAGAGAGAGAGCACATGAGAGGGGGGAGGGTCAGAGGGAGAAGCAGACTCCCTGCTGAGCAGGGAGCCCAATGCGGGACTCGATCTCAGAACTCCCCGATCATGACCTGAGCCGAAGGCAGTCGCTTAACCAACTGAGCCACCCAGGCGCCCTGGATGGAAACTTTTTAACAGGGGATTAGAAGCTTGACTTCTCTGTTGTGAGGTGGGAGGGAGATCTCCCCACATTAGGTGGCAGTGGCCACGTTCAAGTATGTGGGACATTGCCAGGGACCTAAGCGGGGGCTTCTGCTCCTCAGGCTGCGCAGCTTGCATTTTGGCAATGCGTCAGCCAAGCACGTCATTCCAATGGTTCTGAAGACAATGGAAAGGATGGTAAACTGCACTCTGCACCGCATTGGTCTTAGGTCACCTCTGGGGATTTGTTTCCGTTGGATTGCCTGATCTGCAATGTGGAAGGCCAGGCTTGTCATATTGTTTAAATTCGGAGTCAGGATGTGCTGTGCCTCTTCTTGGAAGGCAAGGCTGTAAGCTCTACACACAGTTAGTAGTTGTTTACCATACCTAGTCCTTAATGGAGATTTGAAGAGGTATGTTTTGATTTTTTTTATTTATTTTTAAGATGTATATTTTTATTTTTATTTTTTTACTTTATTTTTTTGCTTTTTAAAAAAGTTTTTATTTTAATTCCAGTTAACATACTGAGGAGGTATGTTTTTAAAGCTGAGGCTTATAGGGTGTTGTCATTGCTGTTGTTTAACTGGATTTCTTTCCTTGCCTTTCCTTAAGTGGGAGGTACAGGTTTCCAGTTATGGCAGGTCAATTTTTTTGAATTTCTTTTTTTTTTTTTACGATTTTAAAATTTATTTATGAGAGAGAGTGAGCAAGCGGGGGGACGCAGAGGGTGAGGGACAAGCAGCCTCTGCAAGCGTGGAGCCCGATGAGGGGCTCATTCTCACGACCCTGGGATCATGACCTGAGCCGAAACCAAGTCTGATGCCCAACCCACTGAGCCACACAGATGCCCCGATATTTTTGAATTTCAACAGAGTTTATACTTAAAAAAAATAACCTCCCTATCTACGTGCAGGATTGTTTCGTCTGTTTTCTAACCATCAAGGTATCAAATATGAAAGTAGATATATCAGTTACAAACATTTTCAATGTAGGAAAGAAAAGCCTCTCTGTGAGCGGAGGGAGTTCACTACTTACAGAAGTCTTCAGAAGAGCTGGAGGAATAACGTCAGGGAGCTGCCCCCGGAGCTTTGAGTTCAAGGGTGCAGTACCACAGACATGCTTCAGTGGTTAGCACAGTATGACCACCACCGTTGCCACCATATCTGCCTCTCAGGTCCGGGAAGCTGCTGCCTAGAAACTAGGATGGTGAAGCTGGGTGCTGGAATGGCCCCTAAAACATGCACATCTCTGTGACTGATTTCAGCAACAGGAAGATCACCTATACTCCTGCCTTCCATGTCTTACCAAATGCATCTGTCCGTGCAACTGGTAGGACGGAACTCACATCCAGAACCGCATTGCCAAGGGAGGCTGGGGAGCATAGCTTTAGCTCTCCATCCCGTCCACCTAGAAGGAGGATGGGATGGAAGTTAAAAGACTAATACACAATACCCACCAAGCTAGATTTGGTTGAAATCCTGGCACAGCAAACACCGCTTGGTTAACATTTCTGTAAAAGAAGAACAAGTTAAAGCAGTGTGTTTTTTGTTTCAGGGACCATTTGGAAAAAGTTCAGGATTTCCCATTGATGTTTATGTAGTGGAATTTGACTTCAGCAAACCAGAGGATCTCACTTACATGAATGATTCTGTATTTGATTGTGTGGATGTGTTAATTCAGAAAAGGCTTTAGAGGTTCATGCCAGTGGGTGAATTGTAATGAGGAGAAAGCAAAAGTTGCTTTGGTAACTACTCTTCTTGAACCTTTTAGAAATTTGGACCTCTAACAATGCATAGTTCTTATTTTAGTAACTCCATGTAGGCTTCATCCTTTTCAGAGGATTCTTTCACATTTCTGTCTTGGGAGTCTTAGGAGTGGTTACAGTAGAGTTCTGCCAAACCTTTGCTATGGATTTTTTCCCCTCTCTCCTGTCAAAACTCATTTTGATTAAAGAGAGAGTCCTTTCCCTGAGTTATCATGTAAAATCAAATCTAAGAGAAAAAGGATCACAACTAATTTTTTGATTATCAGTTGAAGTGCTACATTCTAACAGAAAGGTATTTCTATTATAAATTGATAAAGAGAGTTATATGACAGTGATTTGGTACTTACTCTCTTCCAGTAGTTGAAGCTTAGCTCAGAATTTTCTTTGAATTTTTAAGATTGTCTGGAGGGGGGATGCCTGGGTGGCTCAGTTGGTTAAGCATCTGCCTTTGGCTCAGGTCATGGGGATCAAGCCCTGCATCAGGCTCCCTGCTCAGGGGGGAGCCTGCTTTTCTTCTCCCACTCCCCCTGCTCATGCTCTCTCTCTCTCTCTGACAAATAAATAAAGTCTTAAAAAAAAAGATTGAAAGGCACATTGCTTTGTGAGGGCTAGTGCAGTCCATGTTATTATTAGGTATATAGTTTGGAGGCCCTGGGAGACATGTGTATCATGTATTTATTAAGACTTTAAGGACTCAGTGGGCTTCTTTAACAAATAGACACTTTACAATGACTGGATTATATTATTTTTCCATTTTTTTTATAGTGAAACGATCATGTTTCTTCATGAAATATTTCACCAAGGACTGAAGGCAAGGATAGCAAACTGGCCTACTCTAATTTTAGGTAAGTGCATGCTTTAGAGGTAAAAGGTTTTCTCTTAACATGGCTACAATTAAAGTAAAGTAACTTCAACATCATTTACCCTACACTGTCTGAATTTCCCCGTTGACCTGTGAGCTTCCTTGGGTACTGGGCTTCTTTTTCATTGCCCTTCCAGCCCTTTCCCCTGGCCTGTCATGGTGCATGTGGGGCTAGAGTTGCGCCCCACCCCCAGGTTCATTCTACCAGATCTATCAGTCATTCAGGCATCTGAATTGGGGGGCCCTGTGCACGTGTGACCCCGGTGCTGGGAGCCCCTCTCGGCCAGTCCCATGGAGTGAACAGAGTCTCTCCTCATCCCTCGAGAATTTACCAAGCACAAAGAGAAACTGTCATGTTTACTTCTTTTTTCCAGCTGATCTGTTCGATATTTTGCTCCCCATGTTGAACATTTATCAAGAATTTGTGCGTAATCACCAGTACAGCCTCCAAGTGCTTGCCAATTGTAAGCAAAACAGAGATTTTGACAAACTCTTAAAACAGTATGAAGCCAACCCTGCCTGTGAGGGGAGGATGCTGGAAACGTTCCTGACCTATCCAATGTTTCAGGTAAGTCATCTGGGACCCATTTCATAAGTCATTGATTGCAGTCTGGTGGCGCTGATATCTCGGGTGACCAGAGCAAGGTGTGCAAGGATGCCCTGTGGGGAATTACGGCACAAGTGCATCATCTGTCATCTTGAGCTTGACCCTGAGATAAACAAATATATGCCATACATGTTCCCTCTGTGTGGTATAGGGAAGAAAAGCAGGCATCGGGTTTTTTTTTTTTTAAACCAGGCATTTTTGGAGCAATTAAATCAGGAAGGATTTTTTGCAAAGTAGCACAATTTTCTCTATACAGAAAGATTCCACACAGACTTCTTCCATGGAGTCTCCTCCTCCAGCATGTTTAAAAATATTATCAGGTTTACAGAAATAGGATGCTGTGCAAAAGTTCCAGTATATGCTGGTTGCATAAAAGGCTCCTGTGGGGTGGAGTGGCTGCTGGGAAAGTCTTTGTTTTCCTGCCCATCCTCCCTGCCCTGTTACAATTGCTGTTGAAGCTCGTCTTGAGCTGGTCTGGAGCTCTGGGGAGCAAAAGGAGGACGTGCTGGGTCACAGAGGCTGTGGAGACACAAGGGTCTGGAGGCACTGGCTGGACCTGGGGACTCTTGGCCCCTAGTCATGTTCCTGCATTGAGGCTGGGGCTTGTCCTTATAGTTACTTTTTGGCATTAGAGCACCCTGAGGGATCAAGCACACTTGTGTTCTTGCCTGTAGCTAGGGCTTTACTGTTAAGAGTCCTTGAGTGAGGATGACAGAGGCCAAAATGTGAATTGAATCTCCTGTTCTTTTGAAAAGTGTAGATTCTGTTCTTTTGGACAGGCATTGAGTGTTCTCATTGTGGAATTTATGGGGCTTCTGGCCAGGCCTCCAGATTGTCATGTGGTAAACCAATTCTCCTAATCATGTGTTACGGCTTCTGCGAAAAGCTTTGCCCCCCTGAACAGGCATCACTGACCCCAGCTGATCATTTTGTAGCCTCCGAAAGAAATGTTGCTCTGGTTCATAATTGTTTATCCTAAAGTTTGTCAATCCTGCTTGAAATCCTGGAAGTCACCATAGAGGTTTAGTGAGATTTTTAAAAACCAAAAGGATGCATTTGAAACAACTTAAATATAGTGTAACTTTATAATGTTATTGTGTTCTTTCATGGAACTGAGTTGTTTGAACTCTTTGCCTCTCTGAGGAAATATTTTGCAAGAAAAACTTCAAAGCAAAAAAAAAAAAGTTTGCTTTTTTTTAAACCTTATAAAAATTGTAATTTAAGCTTTTATTTATAGTGAAACAAACTTTATATAGTGCAATGTTCTGAGATTCTGTTTGAATTTTTGGCAGTTACCTCCGGCTTAGGACTAAACACATGAAATTTGTCTTTTTGGCAGCTTCATCTCAGGTGAATATTCAAAGGTAGAGTTGTGAAAGGCACATGGAACATTCAGGGAGGTACTTAGCTCGCTTTCTGACAGCCCATTGATGTCTTCCTGAGGCCTATTTAATTTCCCCTTGGTGTCATTCAGTGTTTTAAAATGCCACAACTGCACTTGCACGTTAGGGGAGGTGTCCAAACAGTAGAATGTAGGGCCTTGGAAAGCCCTTCGGATCACCTTACAAATGCTGAGATACTCTCCTACCACCTGCCCTCCTTTGCCCTGGAGTATAAGCCCAGTCAGAATGACTTGGCATTTTGATTGACTCCAAGGAATTCCCATAATGTCAGGAAAGGATGGTTGGACTGAGAATCTTTAGGAGACCTGGATGTCTTGCTCACTCTTCAGTTGTACCATTGAGGAAAATAATTGAACTAATCTAAATCTCGGTTTCTTACTCTTAAAATGGAGGCACCTGAGCTCTAGTCATCTCCCAGAGCTCTAGCTATCTGAATCTGTGATCCTAGGGGGACTACACCGGTTCTGAAAGTTTGGTTTGGGTAACTATGTGGTGGTGCAAGGAGCCTGGTGTTTGTCCAAGAATCCTTATCCCAAGACTGTGGTGGCCCCAAACCCTAGAATTTAGCTGAAGGGTCAGATGTTGAGGTTCTCTGGCTTCTTCCAGACCAGGGTAACCAAAGGCACTGGTTATGAAAGCCATTGTTCTGGGAGAAACCTCAAACTTGAAGAATTTAGCCAGCGTTGGTCCAAACTGCAAGAAATGTGCAAATTGAAAGAACATGGAATTGTGCTGTTTATTTATTTGCTTCCCTATAACATTTTGAACAGACCAAGAGGGGAAACCCCATCAGAATTTGCTACCTAAGAGCCTCATTCTCCTTGGGTGTCTCTCCTCTGCCTTGTTCGCTTGGTGTCTCTTCTTCCTGCCTTCTCCCTAGCAGTGACCCTATGGGACACTTGGGGGAAAATTGCCCTTTCTGGAAGCTTGAAGGTTTTTTTCTTCCTAGGTTCATTCTGTCCTTCTTGTTCCCTTTGGGTTCTTTCACAGGTGAGGGGAAATAGTCATGGAAGCGTTGGCTCCCTCGGAGGGTCTAACTGTTGCTACTTCCCTCTACATGCTGTGCAGCAGTACCTCGGCACCTCCACCTTGCTTTATTGGAAGGCTGGACCTTGGGCCTTCTTTTGCTATAAGGCAGCAGAAGATGTGACCCTAGTTCATGCCACCAAGGGACCTCTGGCCAGACTTTTTCTTGAGTCTAGACATGGGGGCAGAGGTTGGTGTGGGCACAGGGGAGAGGCGATTGGCAGCCTTTAGCCTGTGTATGTGTAGAAGAGAAAAGTGTGATATTCTTCCTTTTTCTGGGCCCTTCATCAAGTCCATTGTTGCTGTTAATGTCCTATGGTGAGCTATGGAAACATGGAGGAATTGTAGAATTTGGATGATGCAGTAAATTTATCCTCAATTGAACTATCAGACCAGTAAGTCCAAGTGTTGCCAAGAAAAAAATTTGTTATGGAAAATAATGTAGTCATTAACATAATTTTTAATTCGCAAAGACAGTGGCTTGAAGGGTACTGTTTAAATTGGCTTCAGCTGCTCGTAAGTCCATAGGTAAGCCAATCATGCGATCTGCCCCTGACAGGAACAGTGGTGTGAGATATTCTCCAGAAAGTAGCCACTTGGAGCTCTAGCCACCTAGTCACTGTAATTGGAGAGCCAGCTAATTAATGTCTATAAAGTGACAAATATTGTTCCATAACTGAAAGGAGAATTAGATTCATCTGGACAGCACTTACTGTGATTCTTGGTTTTGATGGGGAACAGATTTATAATCAGCTCTTGACTATACAGATGAGCTCTTTGGAGAGCCATCCACGTCTCTGCAGAACGTCCTTTCCCAGCTTTTTGGCAGCTTCAGGCTTGTTTGTTCCTCCACCAGAAAGTAGAGAGGGCCAGTCTCCGAATTTCAAATCCATCTACTTGAATCTTAGCCAAGGAGCTCTCTAAAATAGATTTAATTAATGGGGGAAGATCATGAAGCTATTGACTAAACTTAGTTTTGTGGGTTTTCAGTGCATGCATTATAAGTGTCAGGCTCTCCCACTCCTACCTTCTTTGTTATGAAAAATGTAGTGCATTAGCTGTTGATTGCCTTGATTTTCTTGTAGGACTGCTGACTTAGAGGCAAACTTACCCATCATGACATTGTGCAGAAGGGACATGTGAAAGTGTACGTGTCCCAGGGGCCTTTACCAGGAGAAGTTTATGGGATGGAGAGACAGACAGCGTCCTCCACATGTCTTACAGAGAAAGGAGTCTCCCTCCTCTAAGAAGTCTGTGTCTGAACTTCCAAAACCTTAATATGATGACATTCCCTAGGACACGGTCCCAGAATATCTGCTGCAGATCCATGTCAGTGCTGATGGCACTGCCCTTTGTGCTCCTGCATAAACATGGGCTTTCAGTAAACCACAGTAAGTCACTCAGTGAAGGCCACCACCTGAACGAGAGCAAAAGCAGATCCATGGATAGAGCCGCCAACACCTCAGGACAGGATGGAAGGAGCTAGACACTGCACCCTGGGAGGCTGTTTTACTTTCCCCATTCTCAGAAGTCCTTTCAAGGGCCAAGTGAGACCCCAGGCCCCACAGAAGAGATCCAGTGGGTTCATGCACCCGTTAGAGTCATGAGCATGGCTGGCTCTGGCATTTACTGTGAGACCACCTTGGGCAAGTCACCAGACTGCTTCACACTTTGTTTCCTCCTTCTCTCTGAAAAATGGAGAAATAACCCTTATGTTGCTGTGAAGGTTTGGGTGTACATGCCAACCTCGAGCTCCGATCTGACCCATAGCAGGCAGTGTTATGATACCTGTTGTTCATGCATGTTGTTATTAAAACTAAGGCCGCTGCCCCAGCTTTCTAAAAAATTTTAGTCTGTAAGCCAGTAAAAAATGAAGATGTAGGATCGCTATAACTTGAGTTAAATCTCTACTGTATTCTATTAAAATCTTCATAGGGCTGGTGGAGTTTCTGCTTTTGACAGAATTCAGGTAGTTTACCCATAAACAAAAGTATAAGTAAATAATATAATTAAACAATACTTTTTACCGCTAGAAGGACGAGTTAAGGTAAAGTAGGATGAGAATTTAATAAAGGTGAATATATCTTCTCCCAAGTTTTACTTCTTAGAACATTGCAGTAGGATTGTGAATTTAAAAAAAAAATTGTGGGGGTGCCTGGGTGGCTCAATCAGTTAAGCATCTGACTTTGGCTTAGGTCATGATCTCAGGGTCCTGGGATCAAGCCCCATGTGGGGCTCCCCACTCAGCAGGGAGTCAGTCGGCTTGTCCCCCCCCTTCTCTCTCTCTCTCTCCCCCTCTCTCCCTCCCCCCTCTCGTGGTCTCTCTTTCTAGCTCTCAAATAAAAAAATTGTGAGCGAATATATCTAAAATACAGACTCATGTGACTTGATAATTGCTTTATGTTTCCCTATGAGCCAACTTTCAAATCTTATGATTAAGAAATATATGATTATATTAAAAAATCTGAAGAAACAATGGTTTCTTTGGAACATAATATTTTATTACTCTCTTCTTGTGTTCTTGGTGAATGTGTGTATGTGTGTGAAGTTTGAAGCATAGTTCATTTCAAAACTGTTAAAGTGGAGATGAGCTTCTCAGATATGATGGCACAGTAGAGCACATCCTAGGGTTACTCATCCTGACCTCTTGCTCACGATGGCCTTTATTTGCATTTAGATCCCCAGGTATATCATCACACTTCATGAACTCCTAGCTCATACACCCCATGAGCATGTGGAAAGGAAAAGTCTGGAGTTTGCTAAATCGAAACTAGAGGAACTGTCCAGGTATGTGGAGAACTGATAATAAAGGCTTGATTCGAGAAAGCAGTAAGTTAGTCTCTGTGGAAACCTAATATATTTATGTCCAGGGAACAAGAAGCAAGACATAGTCCAGCTTCTCGGATTCACCTGAACATGAAATGCTAGCTCTTCAGATGGTACTGAATCAGCATACACATTAATTTTAACCAAGAAAAAATATATCTTTGAAAATGTTTTTATAGCATGTGAATTTATGTAATTGAGATTATAGGTTTATTTGGGTTTAAGTTCGAAAATGTTAACATTTCTTTTAGTGTAATAGGGGAAAATGATTTTTAGTTGTATCTTTATGTTCATATTTGACAGGAAGCTAGAGAATGTGTATTTTGGATTTTTCAGTGAGTTTTCACTGTTTCAGGGAATTATTTACATCTGTGTTCCTTTAGCTTATATGGAATAAATGGTATAAAGGTCTCTAATTTGCTCCACCTCCAAGGAATGGCATTCTAATTTCAGTGAAGGGCGCTGTTCATAAAATAATATGTTGCTTTCCTGTTGCATTTATAAGCAACATCCCCAGGGTACTCATTGGGCGCTGACCCACTTGTCATTTAGAATCGTGATGTACATTGGCTTTGGTTTGAGTCATGGCTGGTTGAAGTCTGGAGGTCTGCTCTCCCCACAGCCTCAGCTATACTGATCCAAGTTCAAAACTGAGCTTCCCAAAGAGAGCTCTTTGCATACCGGCTAGGGCTATAGCAAATATCTCTCCCTGTGATCTGTCCGTGCTGTGTCTGACAGGATAATGCACGATGAAGTGAGTGACACTGAAAACATAAGGAAGAACCTTGCCATAGAAAGAATGATCGTAGAGGGCTGTGATATTTTGCTGGACACCAGCCAGACTTTCATCCGCCAAGGTAAGTCCTTGTTCGGTGGACCCACGGTCTTAACGATCTCTGTGACTGTCACATTATTCCTGGCAGATCCCGGAAGGCGTTTTGGAGCAGGTTTGATGGAGCTGTGTGATTGATACTGTTCATGCAGGACATCCCCCTGGCTTTGACCGAGGCTGTGCGTGAGGCCCACCTTTGTGCTGTTTCTTTTCAGGGGCCATGAAAAACAGCAACACAATAATAGTAAAGCACGAGTGGGACAGTAAATTACATTCTGACTGGACTCTCCTCCTCAGTGGACCAGACATTCTCTACAGCTCCAAGGAGGACAGATCGGTCTGGCCGATGAGAGTGGCAGTGCCAGGTGGCGACGATACACAGGCCAAGGCCCAAGAGAAACTTGCGTTACTCAAAGCCCTTTCCCATAGCGGTGGGGACAATGTCCGAAGTGAAAACAGCTGTCTCTTGTTCCCCTTCTTCATCAGCACTTCTGGATCAGCCCCACATGATATGATTTGATTCATTTGGCAACTCCAGTTGCCCAGTGAAATGTCTCTCGACCCCTGACAGGCTTTGGTAATGGGGAATGGGTCTTGTCTGTGGGGTGGGTGCTTGGCAAGCATCCCCTAGTATACAAAGCTCTGGAAGTGTTGAAGCTGTGGAGAAAGCAGCCACCGAACAGTGCAGCTCCCTCCAGGGCCTAAACCCCATCCAAAGTCCTTTTTCAGTGCTTAGGTGTTCTGAGGGAAGGGAGCATGCCCCATGGAGTTGATCTGAGATGATACATTGCGCACATTCATAGTTTTGAACTTGGTGAGCAGTGACACATGGATTTAGAACTAGGATTAACCTTAAATGTAGTTTCTGTTGCTAATGTGCCGATATCATTGGGAGATATTTGCATTTCTGTTGCCTACCAAAATGTGCTGCTTAGCATTTTTTTTTACCTCATCCAACAAGACATTGTTTGAGCCGTGAACATACTTTTTTTTGCACAGAATACTTAAAAAAATGTAACATGTGCTGTTCTATTTTCCATTATTTATTTACAGAGAGAGAAATTACACATATGTTGAAGTTTGGAAGTATATTTTAGGAAATGATAACTTTTCTCATTTTTGGCTTTTGATATTGATTTTCCTTTAAATATAGCGCAGTATAATGCTAAACAACATCAGGCCTCCCTAATCCCCCTCTGTTCCTCCGCACAGACTGTGTCCCCACATGGCTTCCTGCCTTCCTGGCCCTTGCCTGGCTCTGTGCCTTCCCGTGTGCCGTCCCCAGCCCGGGGATGGGGACTGCCTTTGTCCCATCCCTTCTGTGCCTATCAAAGGTCTGCGTGTCCTTCCGGGCTCAGGTCAGACTCCTCTAGGGAGCCTTTTACAATTTTCTCATCTTTCTCTCCCCTTCCCTCCAGTTGGAATGACTTTACCTTCCTCCTGGTTTCGAGGCTGCTCCCTCCTCGCGCATGTTTTATCCTCTTGTTCATTATAGGTACACACCGGCGCGCCTGTCGCTACACACCGGCACGCCTGTCGCTCCCAGCCATTGTGACTCTGGACGGCTGTGTTTATGAATTCTCTCCTGCCTTATATGCTGCTTTCCATTATAGATACCTGAAAGACGGGCATTGGCATTGGAGTAAATGGAATTGCTTGTTGAATTGCAGTTTGAGTTGTTAGATGTTTTGTATTTTTCTTGTATTTGGAGTTCATGGAAAAAATACTTATTGACTAGAGCTTTATAATGAGAATGCAAACAAATGTTTCTGTAACTAGTATTCTATTTCTGAAAGGTCTTTTGATTGAAAAATGTTACGCATAAACATTATTTCTACAAACTTAGACTGCTCTTATCTAAGTTTGAAAAAAAACATCTCTAATGAAAAATGCTGGAAGGCCGAGTATATTGAATAAGTCTTTTTTTTTTTCAATGCACTGGGAGGAAAAGCCCCCATGAGCCGCCCCTCCCTTTGATTCCTGTCCAGATGTTATTGATTGCCTGTTTGTGCCACATGTTTAAAGCACTTCTGTCAGCTATTAATATATCTGATGTTATTATCGTATTGATGTTGATATAATGATTTGTCTTTACAGTATTTTTCTGTATTGTTTGGCTGGTTAGCGTGTTTAGGAATTATTCAATAAAGTTGATTTTAAAAAATCAGACCTGAATCTGAAAGTAGAAAGGAATCCAATTACATATAATTTGGGAAGTTTACATTGTTTTGCTTTGGTTGCTCCTATTATCACTTCTCCTTAATACCCTTAACAGATTTTAAAACCCAGTGAAGTGGGTTTCTTATTCTTTTGAACTGAAGGATTCTATTTTCTTTGAAATGGACTACAACCTAGCTCTAATTGTCCACTAGTATTTGTGTTATTTACTTTTAGGGAAGGTATGAGGTATGTTTCTGTGTGTGTGTGTGTGTGTGTGCACGCGCGCCCATATGCACAAATATATGCGTGGTTTTAATCTTAAATGAATTGTTATTCTGAGGACTAGAAAAAAGAAACCATCCAGGTCACCCAAAAGGCCTCCTTGGAATAGGGGCATCAGCTAATCTCGAATCTCAATCTGTGGGAATTTAGTGATTGAAATCACAGAAGCTTTATTGTAAATTGTTTCTAATGATTAAACAGTTGATGAGCAGGATGCAAAGGACTGTATCATATTGTAGTCTGATAAGGTTATTTATTTATTTATTTATTTATTTATTTATTTATTTTTTGATTTATTTGCTAGAGAGAGAGAGAGTGAGGGTACAAGTGGGGGAGTGGCAGAGGGAGAAACAGGGAGCAAGGAGCCCGATGCGGGGCTCGATCCCAAGACCCTGGGATCATGACCCGAGTCGAAGGCAGACCCTTAACCAACTGAGCCACCCAGGCGTCCCAGTGTCATTTATTTTCTAAAGTCTACTCAGAGTTTGTTGAACTAAAGTGTAAGAGTCCAAGGCAACAATAGGAAGACAGTGTAACCACGTCACTGGAGGTCAAATCCTGCCCCCCCCCCTTTTCCTTGCTGTAGGATACTGGGCAGTTTACTTAACCCTCCTTTGCCTCCGTTTGCTCTCCTTGCATTGGAGTTAATAGTACCCAGCTTTTCTGGATGTGGTGAAAATGAAACGGACTAATAATGCTCACAGGAGCATCTAGACTAGTGCCTGTGTGAATATGATATAAATTTAAAAACCAAGATCTAAATTTTGGAATGAGTTTCTATTTTTCAATAACATGAAATATATATGAATATTTAGTAGACGATAAGGCACTTTAAGGTGACATTTTGCACAAAACCCGTTATATATAGTCAACATCTTGTGGAAATGTGACTCAGGATCATTAAGTGAAGGGGGCCGAATTCAGAGCTAAATGCATTGAGAATGAGACCTGGACCTCTGTGGTACCTTAATCATTCCCAGACTGGAAATTATGTCCTTTCAGTGTATCGGTGTTCTTTGGAATTGTAACATGGGGTCTGGAAATAATTGTACCTTCTCAAATACCTAACCAGATAACCTGGAAATTGCTCTTCGTTGCTTCTCACTACTGAGTGGAATGAAGAATAAGGGCATTAGCCAGTCCTGAATCCCACTCTTTCGGCATTTAGTGATTGAATTAACAGAAGCTTTGCTGTAAATTGACCCCAGTTAATAGGTTGAACGGTGATAGAGATGCAAGGGACTATGTTGCAGCAATGGTCTGATACTGAGGAATTACCAATTTAATACTAAATATTCCTTTACCTTGTATTAACTAGAGAGGAGTCCCCAAGTCTTATAGTTGTGTTTTAACACCAGGTCAAACATAAGATAAAATGTGAAAAAAAAAATCCACCTAACATGTTTTTTCCAAAATGATTATTTTATAAACCAAACAATAGTGTTGAAATTGCTCACTTTTAATTCTGATGTATAGACTTCTGTATATACCTAATATACATAGCGAGATGAACAGTTACAGATCAAGCAGATTGGTGTATCGTTGCTAATGAAACATTTATTTTTTTTTTACCTGAAAGGTGAAATTCACAGTATTATTAATATATGAGCTAACAGTGTACTCTGTAATTTCTGTTTTACAAAAATCATTAAATGCTAGAAGCACTTAACAACACATAATACTGAGTCTTCGTGAACTTGGTTACCTTTCTGAAAATGACTCCTACACCGTTTATCCACCAGGATATTTGTCTTAAGCTCCAGTCTGCCCTAACTGATCTCACGACCGCCCGTGGCAAAGCTAGGACGTACTGTCTGCTCCCATCCGATCCCTTTCCAAGGGTCAGTTTTAATGTTGCTGAATCCGCTGCTGTCTCCTGGCTGTGCCACTCACTCTGGTGTGATCTTAAGACAGCTGCTTAGCCCCTGAGGCCTCAGTTTCTCTTCTGTGAAATGAGGGGTGAACTAGGTCCTCCGAAAGGGCTCCTCTGGCTTTCATTCCAGCCTGTGAGCCCCATGAGTACGATCCTTCTATTACTCGCTCGTTTACTTCTCCAGGCATTCTGCCTTCTGCTCTCCCCACCCCTCCTTTACTCGTCACATGTAATTTCTTGCTGCCTGCGCTTTCCGACAGCTTGCTCCCGCCCGCCTCACCTCCTCTTTTCCCTCTCCTCCTGCCTGTTCCCTTCAGTGGAGTCAAGCCTTCTCCTGCCCCTTGTTCTCAGTCCCACACCCTCCCCCAGGGCTCCTTCCATGCTATTCTTTGCCCCCCCCGCCCCCCCAGTAGCTGCCTACTCTGCCTCTGTCAGGCAGCCCCACCTAAACACTCACCTGAATAGATGGAATCTGCACATGGAGGCTCCGATGCCACCCCCACCCCCCCTTCTTTAGATCTCTGTTAAGAAGTAGATGCTGTTTGGAATATTCATATGCTAATGTGAACATCTTGTGACCCACACAGCCCTAGTTTTACCATTATGCATATACGAACAACTTTAGTGGGGTTTTCACCACCTACGGAAGTAATCTATGCTCATTAAAAAAAATCAAGAAATGCAGAAAATGTATGAAGAGGAAATGAGGCTGCCTGCAATCTCGTTTTTTAGTGGTGACCCCTGTTAGTATTAAAGGGTTGGATATGCATTTAATGGTTCTTATGGGACTGATATGTGCCTTTGTAAGGCTGCATTTGGGGTAGGTAGTAGATTGAGCAAATAGTGGAAATATTGCTGACTCAGGGTAATTCAGAAGTCAAGGTATTTACAAGAATCTTTCCTAGTATTTTTTGGTTTGATATCTAACTTAGATTGGAATTTTATTTTGTGGGGAGAGGGAGGTCATTATTCAGGTGAAATTATAAAGTCTCTGTACAGCTTCTCACATTGAATGGAAGACAGGTTTGCTCACAGGAATGCTCTGGGTATAGACTTCATGACTTCTTTTCCATTTAGATTCCACAAAGAATTTTTCTCACTATTTATTTATTTATATTTTATCTGAAAGAGAACACAAGGTGGGGGAGAGGCAGGGGGAGAGGGAGAGAGAGAGAACCCAAGCAGTCTCCATGCCCAGCACAGAGCCTATGTGGGGCTTGATCCCACAACCCCGAGGTTACAGTCCGAGCTGAAGTTAAGAGTCAGACACCAACTGACTGAGCCACCCAGGCGCCCCAACACACATAATTTCAGTAGAACCTGAAATAGCTGCCCTTTAAAAATTAACTAAATTGCATTGAATTGTATAATTTGTGTATCTTTATAATATACATGCATTGTAAATTTTATTTTTTAAATACAAAGTAAACTCTACTAATGCTCTTTGTCTACCTCCGTGGCCTCAGGAAGAATAAATTCTATTTTCTTTTTATTATGTTGTCATTATTATCATATGTAATTATACAATATGTATCTTATTTTTAAGTAAAGAGGTTGACTGAGATCAGATCACCAGGGGACAGATGGCAGACGTGCCTTGTTTGAATCCCAGTTTGTCTTTCTTTCAAACTTACTGTAAAGTTTATAGATGAATAATCAATGAGTCTGAAGTGTTTTACAAAAGTAGTAGGAATTACTTGGACCCTTAAGACCCAATGCATTGTCTCTTCTGCTCAGAGTGTAGCGGGTTTACTTCCAGTGAATGGTGCATTGAATAAGTCCCTGGTATCTTGGGAAACAGGCCCTAGAGTTTGTTGCATCAAGAACAGCTCTCACTTGACAGAATTTTAATTGCTGTGTATTCTTCACTTTTGTGATCACCAGGTTCTCTTATTCAAGTACCTTCTGTTGAGAGGGGGAAACTTAGTAAAGTTCGCCTGGGTTCATTGTCTTTGAAAAAGGAAGGAGAAAGACAGTGCTTCTTATTTACAAAACACTTTTTAATTTGTACGAGAAGCTCAGGAGGAAAGCTCCATCTGCTCAAGGTACGGGTTTACATGACTATTCCACTTATGTCCATGCACTTGAGAGGTGCTGAGGTTAATTTAATTATGGCTTTCCCATGCCTAGTATCAAAAACCCAGATTGTCACAGGTGCATAGTGAGGCAGCCATACAGTTGCTAAGCTTGACATGTACTTTGTTGTCAGTTGTATGCAAAATAATAGAAATTTAAGTGTGTGTTTCCATAAAGAAGTGCAATTAAAATCATCACCTGGAAAGAACAATTACTGTTGAGCTACAAAAGTCCTGTTAAATCACTACAGTGTACTGATCCAATATTTGCTAAATGCTATTTTATCTTGCTCTATACAGAGTCAACACACCACGGCCCACAGCCTGCTGCCTGTTAATAGAGCTTTATTGTCACACAGCCACGCTCATGTGTTTACCTATTGTCTGGCTGCTCTCATGCTTTTAAAAATGGCAGATGTGAGTAGCTGCAATAGAGATCATATGGCTTGCAAAGCCTAAAAGATTTACTATCTGGCTCTTTATAGAAAAAGTTTGCCTACCTATACCTTCTGTTAAGAGTGCCTGCCTTCTTATCCTGCGCCATGGTGATGTTTTTCCACTGCGTACAGCGCTTCCTGGTTGGTGGGCTCAGCTGTATTCACTCTCAAGGTGCCAACTAGTCTCCCACAGGCCGACCTGCTCAATTTATAAACACTGGGAGTGAGCGTGGGTTGGGGGAGAAGAATCATGAAGTTTAGTGATTTTAATTGCTTTTACACAACTAAATTTAGTTTTGGAATCTATGAAAAATTATTTGTGATGCAGAACTGTTGTGCTTTCTTCTGTGGCAATTTGAATAAAGGTTTATAAATCAGAGCTTCCCAACGTATGCAAGACTGTCAGCCTCTTAATGAGACATTGGTTTGTTTCCAGACAGGTGGGGTTCTCTCTCTAATAGAATGTACGTTGATTGAGGAGCCCGATGCGAGTGATGATGACTGTAAGTCACATTCTATGTCTTAGAATTATGGTAGAATAACGAGGTCTTACGGTTTTTACCTGCTTATGGCTAAGAAGAGCTTCTTAAGGAGGCAGGGAAGATGTTGAAAATACACTCCCTGAAGTCCTTTATATATGAGAAGTTCTGTTGAATCATTTAACCTGTGAACTTCGTTAAAACATCTTTGGGAGTTCATATTTTACTGAATTTGTCTCATGATAGTGACTTTTTCAGTGACAGGCAGAGAAGAAAGGAATTGAATTAGAGAGTGTTGGAATCTGTAGATTATGGAAATTAAAAAAAAAGAGAAAAGAAAACAGGAAATGAGTAGGAGCCAGGGATCCTAGTCCTGAGTAACCTGCTGACCTCAGCTTCTTTACCTACTTCTGAACTTAGTAAAGGCTTCCCCTTGCCAGAGAAGTACACATGTTGCTGAAATGAGATTCTGGATTTGAACACACATCAATCATCTTAGTAGAACTCTGTGAAACTCTCTTTTTTCATATTTTTGTATTCACATCTAATTGTTTGCTTTGCGTGTATTGAAGCCAAAGGTTCTGGGCAAGTGTTTGGACACCTGGATTTTAAAATAGTAGTGGAGCCTCCTGATTCTGCCCCTTTCACTGTAGTCTTGTTAGCACCTTCACGCCAGGAGAAAGCTGCCTGGACGAGCGACATAAGTCAGGTAAGCAAGTGGCTCTTGCCGTAAGTTGTGTTGTTGCTGTTGCTGTTTTTAATTTCACAACGTAAACTTGGTAGGGGGAGATTTTTAGTTATTTTGTTTTTATTAACAAACTTACATCTGGTTGCTGTGGTCACTGCCATCACCCCTGTGTATCTTGTTAGCTGGGACCATTTGTTACTGTTGTTTGTTTTTCTTGGTAAGGTTAAAATTTACCTGAAATGTGGTCCTTGCATTTTAATTCCTGGGCATTTTTGTACAGGCTCTAAGTGTAATCAGTTGTGTTGAGCATTGTTAAAATTGCCCTGTTAGCAGTAGATTCTCCAGTGACCCCCCACTAGATTATCTTATGCTTACTTGTTTCTGAGGTAGGTAAATGGTGAGAGATACAAAAACAGCCAAGAAGGGCTGTAGTGAGAAATCACAAATTAAAGAATCACATCAAAGAAGAGATACTGTCTGTAGTATGAAACCTGAAAATGAGCTTTCCTGTATTTTATATAGAAAAACATCAGGAAACAGATTTGTTTACTTTTCCTTGATCGGCAATGCCCAGTTAAGGAATTGCTGCATTTATACAGAAATTGGAAATATATCAAAACTAGCTGTGATTGGGCTTAGGCATTCCTAAATCCACGCTCCACATTAACTTTTACTCCATTAGCTGATATAGGAGAAAAATGTTCATGTAGGGAAAATATTAAAAGAAGGCTTGGTAATTATTTTCTATGTTATTAATTCAAGGAAGATTGGGGCAAATGGAAAAAGCATATACTGTAGATTCAAATGCTTTCTTTTTTTCTGAAGAGCTCATAATAATTTGTATATAAAACTTAGATAAAAATGTTAATTTTTTTCTGAGTGACTGAAAACTGAGGGAAAATAGAAAGACAATGAAGGGCAAAATAATTATTTTTATGTGTCAAAAGAAATTTTATAGACTTAATCTAATTTGATCCTGACAATAGTATTCTGAAGGTAAACTGAAATATCAGCCCACTTCACAGGTGAGGAACCTGAGGTCTAGAAGGCTAAGTGTCCAAAGTTACACTAATCCTAATGGTCTTTTATTAGCATTCTAAACATCCTCTACAGGAGTGCTGGATTTATGCTTATAGACCCCAGGACTCCTTTGATGGTGAATAAATAGCTTCAAGTGAAGGCACTTCTTTTCTGGCCAAAAAAAGAATGAAAACATGGGATCTTCTGTATTTGCATAATTATATCCTTGTGGTGATTTATCAATACTTTCATTAGCTCTGTACTGTATGAATTAATACTTTAGTCTGTTTGGAATATATCTCTTCCCTTACAAAACTCTGAATCATTCATGGTTCTATGAATGTTTGTTGAGCAATCAACATATACTGCCAGGTATTGTGTAGGTATCAGGGATATGGCGATGGTCCCTGGTCTCAAAGAGATGGGCAGGCCAGTAGGGAAGAAAGGTCTGGGGACAACTTAGTGCAACAAAATTTTGCAGGTGTTGTGAAGCCTTGTGATAAGTAGAAAGAATGGGGAGAAAAGGAGTAGGCAAAGGTGTTTTTCTAGCTGCTTCTAGCTTCTACCTTATGATACAACTGGGGCTCCTAAGATACAGAATTGATAAAAGATTCAGGCCTTTATTAGCATGCCTGGTGAGGCACTGCTGTGAAAGAAAGACAGCCCCTTGGGTACATGGAGGATCCTATAACTGGTTTTTTAAAGAAAGGGTAAAATGCTTTGTTTGCCATAAGCATCCACGTGAGTCTTCCTACTTAGACTCCATCTCGAGGCAGAAGTACACAACTTCATATTTTTTCCCCAAGTCTCTATGGCTAATATGTTAAATTCTACCAGATTGTATCTACCAGTGAATTGGAGAATAAGGCTAATAGAAAGTTCTATCTTTTTGAGTGACAATGATATAATTCATGAAATTATTATGTTTGATGGAGCCTTGATGTTGTGTGGCTTTGACACATATTATTTCATTCATTCAACAAATATATTTATGCAATGATAGTATATGCCAGGCACTGCTTAGGCACCTGTGATATATCATGAACAAAAGAGGTAACAACAACAAAAATTCTCTGACCTTATGTTGCTTACATTCTAGTGAGAGGAAGATTGAAAATAAACAATAAATGTAATAAATAAGTACATACTGTTTTATGCTAGAAGGGGATAGGACAGGGTAGGAAAGATTGCACTACTGGGGGTAGGTCTGGGTCAGTACACTTTTAAAACGGTGGTCCCTTCAGGCTGCAGGAGACAGCTAAACAAAGACTGTAGCAACTGATGGAAATACCATGTAGATATGTGATGAAGGGAAAATCCTTTCAAAGAGAGGGAGGAGCCATTTGTGAAGACTCTGAAGTAGGAGGACACTGCCTGTTTTGAGGAATAGCACGAAATCAGTGTGGTTGAAGTGGAATGTATGAGAAGGAGACTAGGAAGAGAGGAAGTCCGAGAGGTAACAGAGGTCCAACCAGGGAGGGCCCCCTAAACCAATGAAAGGGTTTTAGCTTGTACTCTGAGTCAGATGAACATCTCTTAAAGGGTTTGACAAGGGAATTCCATGCTCTGACTTAAGTTTTAAAGGGATCGCTTTCCCGGCTGTGTTTCATATAGACTGGGAGCTGAGGGCAAGAGTGGCAGCAAGGAGCTGAATGAGAAGCTGCTGGAGTAACCCAGCCGAGAGTTCCTGAAGGCTTAGCTCAGCAAGGCAGGAATGGAGCTGGAGATAAGGGTTGTGATTCCGGATTCATTCTGAAGGTAGAGCCAACAGGGTTTTATTATGGCTTTTATTTGGGTCATGAGAGAAAAAGAAGAATCAAGGATGTCTTCAGAGTTTTTGGCCTGAGCAACTAGAAGAATGGAGTTGTCAATCCGGAGAGTTTGCAGTGAATATCAGAAGCTTACTCTACATAGGTTCAGTTTCAGAAGGCTATTAGACATTTGCATGGAGTTGTTAAGGAAGCAACTCGCTAATACTGAGTTGTTAAGTGAGCAGCAGTCCAGCGTTTAGGGGAGAGGTCCAGGTGGGAGAGTCTGTGCATTTAGGTCGTGTTTAAGGCTGCGAGAGTATTGAGACCACCTAGGGAGTAAGTAGGGATAGAAATGAGAAGAGGGCCATGGACTGAGTCAGGGGTCGTGGAGGACAGCAAGAGGACGGAGAAGGTTCCACTAGTGTGTTAGGACCAGCCATGAGGGTGTGGTGTCCTGGAAGTCAAGTGAGGAAAATGTACCAAAGAGGAGGGAGTGGTCACGTGTCCACTGCTACTAAGGGCTGAGTACGATAGTGATGCTCTGAGGTACTTAGCGATTTTGCCAATGCGGGGTTTGGTTAGTGGGTTTTGTAGGGACAGAGTGCCCCACTGTCGATTGAGCCTAGCCTGCCACCTAGCAGCCTGCATCTCAACTGGCTTTGTTCTCTGCTTAAAGCATTTTCATTTTATGGGGGAAATTATCCGCTATACATACATTGATGGTATTTGTCAGTCTCCCAGTATGTCTCTGGACATGTTCATTATTAATAAGATGAGCCCCCTGAATGCTTGAAAATGTACTGTTTAATATTTTACTATGTATATGTAAAAATGTGGACATAAAAAGGAGCTAAAAATACTCCCAAACACTCAGCCCACTAAATTAACATTTATCAAAGTATTTCCACCTAAGGGTTTTTGTAAACTTGCAGGTTCCTGAGTCTACATTCCAGACAACCCCCCAGCTTTAACAAGCTCCACAGATCACTTTTGCACAATTAAATTGGAGAAACTTTGCCCTGAAAATCAGTGGTTTCCATTTCTAAAACCTCCACAGTCCTGCCGTGCAGAAATAATTTTACAGTTTGGCTCCCAGTGTATATATACATCATTTTCGTGTTTTACCTCATTTACATCTTTCTATATTCCTGAAGATTCTTCATATTGGTATCTTCGAATGGCCACACACACACTACCACATTAACATACCACTTTTCCAAAATGGTTGGATATATTCCAGGTTTTAGCATTAATATGTGATATGGTGCTAAACATTGTTATACAGGGAGTTACGCTCCCTTTCAAGGTCCCTTGTTGGCATATCTTCCCCACAGAGGGTAAGGTTGGTACAGAGGGCCTGATCACTTCCATGACTTCACGATTCGTGACTTGACAGACTGCCAAAACGTAAGAAATCTGTAACTCATCATTTCACTACATCATCGGCAAGATATCTGTGCGACTTTTTCTAAGTCCTGTGCCATTGTTGAATTTTGTCATATTTATCACATCTTCCTATTTAATGAAAAAAGTGGTATGATTCTCTACTGGTTTTAATTTACATTTCTATAATTATCAATGAGATTAACATTTTCTACCATTTCTATTTCTTATCTGTTTATGCCAGATGGACATTTATTCATTGGAACTATTCTACAGACTAGGGAAATAAACATTTTCCTTCAAGTCAAATTATGAATGTGTTCTCCATTATTTTGCCATTTTATTTTTGTCACTCTGTTTTGCTAGATCTTAATTTTTTTGTGACTTGGTTTAAAGCCACCTTGCTAAGTTATTGTACCATGTTACACTAATCACATATGGCTCTTATTTATGATAATAAAGTGGTTTCTGACTATTGATACAATCCCAGTTTCACATAAAGAACTCGATACAAAAATTAAGTCTATTGGTTTTGCCAGGCCTCTTCTCTGAAGCTGTAATTTTTAGAAGTAACAATTGCTTGAATGATTAATTACACCTTTACTTACATCAGTAAGGCCATAATTAACTGTTGGCACCTCCAACAAAACGAACAAATAGCTAATGGTCTTGACCAATAATTCTTCCCTTTTCATCTATTTATAGGGAAAAATTTGAGGCTGAGGATTTGACCATTCATTTCAATATAGTGCATTCATTTATGCTTGTCTTCTTGTCATACATAATGGTGTATTAAACAGATTTTTCTGTAATTATGGGTATTAACTAAAATGCAGAATTAAAATTCACCTCTGAGCTTGGTTTGGGCAGATGTGTGAAAATGTACACCTTGTATAGACAAATCTATAACACTCTCACATGCTTTCTCCCTTAAAATAGCTTCTTTGGAATCAATAGGGAATTTTTTACTTTAACATAAAAGGGTGAGTTAAAAGAGAAGAATTGAATCTAACCTTTCTTCCCACTACTTAGAAGTGTTAGAAGGTACAAAGGGTGGTGGTAGGTCACAGTAGACAGTGACCTTTGAACAGGTATTGCCTTAAGTAAGATCCTCAAAAGACCTTGCTGGTGAAGTCATTCTCAGCAATTTTCTAAGGACCAATTGCCTCAAAATTGTCTCGGGCTATTGTGAACATGCATGTTATTCTCTTAATTCTATTAATTTCAAGGTTTACTGTAATTCACATAAATTTGGTGTATGCTCAAAGATATGTGACACTTTGCTTATCATGGTTCTTCTTGAATGAGTGAACTATATTCATTTTCTCAGGGCTCAGTCACTTTTCTCCAACATAACTAAAAGACAGGCTTATATGGTCATGAATATATGCCATGCCTTCCAATATTAATATATTCATACACAGATTATCCTGTTTTAGTCTAACTTTTTTATGGAAGAGAACCCTTTCTCCAGGGCAGCATCATTGAAAGTCCCAAATGGAAGCGAGAAAAAAACAGAACACTCTTGTTGAAGTAGAGCTAGTGGACCCAGAGCCCCCAGGAGTTCTGTTCGTAAACCCAGATTGTCACTGCAGCCTCTGTCTGTGGAGCCTCTAGGAAATGAAGATTTTTATTACATGGCCTTTGAGCTATGGCTCAGATTGCATGTATGTTTTGATTTCCTGAAACTTGAATGTAAGCAAAAAATTTTTTCTGTTGAAAATAATTTTAATGTTTCATACAGGAAATCACAGAGATTTATGAATGAGATATGACATTGGATAATGAGATGGTCAAAAGTAGTCACACAAATCTCTTTTGGACCTAAAATATTTATCTCAAGTTCCAATTTTGACAGTGTAGAGGACTGAGTTGATTTAGATCCCCTCTAGTTACAAAAACAGAAATGTTTAACATATAAAATCAATATAATAAAATTTTTTAAAATACATTGGTGATATTTACAGATTGGTGATATTTTACAGAAATCCCTAGTTGTCAGAAATACCGAAGAAACTTAAAGTTAGAGCAGAAAGCTTCTAAGCTGAAAACCTAGAGACCTAGGAATGATTTTCGATTGAGTATTGGTCCCAAGCCCGAGGGGTTTTAACTAAAGGGACTGAGGTAGCTGTGGGCCCCTTAAACCAATTAAGCTCCCTGCTTAAATCCTGGATATTGGAAGGGTATCCCCTCTGTGAGATAAGAACTCAAAAAACTCTTCTCATTAGCCCAAAAAAGAAATTAAGGAAGTTTGTCTTTGTCTTGGGTTCTGATTTTTAAAAAATTTCCTTTGGAAGAAATGAGTGTGTTTCTGGACTATGGATTTGAAATTTAAAGGCATAATATTCACATGGTGTGAAAAATCCAAACCGAGGAATTAACGTAAAAGCAATTTTGGGGACTGTTGAAATCCCAAGACTGCTTGGTAGAAGCAAACACAAAAGTCACTCCATTAGCAACACTTTACAGTTCACGCCTCATGACAGTGTGCTCAAAATCAAAAATTACAAATCTTGTAAGTAACTTATCTCTCATGAGAGAGTCAGAAGACACAGTGAACAGCGGAATTAATATTGCTGGGATTTCAGATAATAGGGTGACAACTTGGAAAAGACTGTAAAATAAGAATGTTTAAAGTATTTTAAAGCCAGAAGGAGGAAGGAAGGAAGGAAGGAAGGAAGATAGATGAAGGGAAGGAAGGGAGGGAGGGAGGGAGGAAGGAAGGAAAAATAAAAGATTACTATGTAAAAAGGACCCGGTTGATGTGTCAAAGAATCAAATAGAAAATCTCAACATAGAAACTATAATCCTAAATCATCCTAAAGCTGTTGTTTGTGTAACTCTGCCATTTGCTTAAAATGTTAAAGGAAACTGAAGGAACATTGTTCATTTTCCACCAAACACCATCTCTGTCCTCTCACTTCCTGCATTGGTAACTCAAGCGGCATCCTCATTGTGCTTTAGAAACACTGAGAATGAAAAGAAGGCCACTGGGGTAAAGGATCACTTATCCCATCTCTTCTCTCCCTGTCTGTGTCTAAGTCCTGTCCCCATACAACACTCTTCCCCATGCCCCTCACCCTCCACCAGTCAACCTCTTCACACCATTTAATTACAGTTATAAATCACTACACGGTATCCTAGTAACTAGAAATAAGTTCTGATTTTAAAAATTGCTTAAATCTTTTTTCATTTTCTGTTTTGTTCAAAAAGAAGATGTGTAATTCAAAATAAATCCTTCTCTAACTTTTCTCTAATTGCAAAGGGAATTTTTAAATTGATAAGGCATAAGTAAATAAGGCAGTGGAAATTAGCAGAAGTTCTTCAATTTTTCTCCTAAAAAGAAAAGAGAAAAAGATGAACAGGGCTTCATGCATTCCAGAAACAGGAGAAATTACACAATGCATCCTCATCAAATCAACATGGTGCCAATAGAAACCACTAGAGAAGCTAGTAAAGTGTGGGGAAAAAAAACACCTTAGAAGCAGGCGTAGAGCTTACTAGTGAGACAGAAGATGAATTCCATCTGCGAAAGCCGTCATTTCTACTCAGCCTGCCCCAGACCACCCTAAGGCAGAGAATGAATATCGCAGAGGCAATTACTGTCAGAAGGTATAAACCTCTCAACTGGTGCAGCTACTGGCAGAGAATTGTGATGATGTGACATTGGGGCCAGAGTCCTTAGGCAGTACATTCCAGGAGAATACAGCTCTTATATCTATCCTCAGGTATTTGCCAGGTGCACAGTTTGGGTATCTGGGCATTGAATCTGTTCTTCAATGTATAATGTTTACATGCTGCTGTGTGTGTGTGCACAGAGACAAAATGAGAAACTCAACTTGTTTTTGTGGCTATAAACAATTCTGAGACTATGTGATCTGCCTAGGTTTTCATGTGGGTTGAAATTGTTTGTTTTTTAATTTCACAGTGTGTGGACAATATACGGTGTAATGGTTTAATGACTATAGTATTTGAAGAGAATTCCAAGGTTACTGTGCCACATATGATTAAGTAAGTGTAATAATCCTTTCCCTTACATTTTAATCAAGTCGAATTGGTAGAGAACATAAAGCCCTGCATAAAACATTGCTTCAGTAGGATTCTGCTTCATTTTTGTGAATATGTTTCTTGACAGTAATGCAATAATTCATGGTATGCTATTATAAATAATAAGACTATCAAAATGGTTTTTTAGATTCGTGTTTATTGATTCACAGCATAAGAAAATGTTTTTCATACTGTTACATATGCTTTTATTCAGGACAAAAGCCTATTGAGATTTTTCAAGTTCAATATAAAAAGTTGTGACAGCCAGATGTATCCAAGGTCAGAGGCTGGGTCAAAGTATGGCACATTCTTTTGGCATCTTCCCAGTGGATCTGAATTGTATTACTCAGATTTGGTTGTAGAGATATATTTAGATTGCGAAGACACTTGACATGCATCAATTGGCCTTCCCAGGGTGCTACTACTGCCCATATGTGGATTTGCCCAAGTCTGTCATCATGCTGTCTCTCTGTTTTGTTAACAAAACATATCCTATAATTTAAGGTGGTCAATAGGGAAATGGTAGTTTAAAATGAGAAGTTATATCATTAACTGTGTGCCATTGCTCTCTGTATTAATGCTTTTGTCTCTACATACTTTTTTGATTATAAATTCTGAAATTGTTTCAGGAGTATTTTGAAGCTCACCAAATTGTTCCCTGTTCTCATTTTTTTTTTTTTTTTTGGTTATTTGTAGTTCAAATTCTAAGAATAAAATGTGTTTTTGAAAGCAGTCCTGTTATATCTTTAAAAAAAGTTACATGAAACCAAGAAAATATTTGTCTTCTATGCGTTTTTAATGTGGATTGTTTTTAGATCTAAGCTGTTTGTGCTAAGGCAATAAATAACATTAATTTTCCTCTTCTGATAGGAAATTAGTGTCCTTAGCACCATCCCAACAGTACAACTTTTAGAACTTATTATTTATTGTATCAGATGAAGACAGAGTATGTTATACTCCTGCCGTAATTACTACAGGAAAATATAAACTGTGAAAGAATGATAGTATTTTAAATTACTGGTCAAATTTAAAAATATTGTAGGTAGAATCGTTTTAAGACTCTAGGGCTAAGATTCCTTTAGCATTCAGTTTTTTGGTTTTTGATTTAGTATAGTTTTTTTGAACCACAATAGTTAAAAATGTATGATGCTAAGATTAAGACCAGGTATGCAGTATTCAATCAAAAGGTCCAAATTGTGACTTAATTTTTAAATTCACATCATTTGGTTAGAGTTATTTTAATTTTCTACCATAGGATGCTTATTTTAATATTTCACAAAGTAGCATATGTAACTTTTATTCATTTTTACAAGTAGTTTCTTGAAGGCTAGACAGCCATGAAAGTCCCAACTGCTTTAGAATGAGAATATGTGAATTGGACATTGCAGCCAAGTTATAAGCTCCTAAACCCTAGAGCTACTTTACGTATGCTATACATACGTTTTGTTGACTTTAAAAATGAATACAGACACAAATTTTTGTTTTGTGCCTGACTGGTTATGGCTGGTGCCCAAAGGCATCTTCTGTCTCCTATGATGTCCGTTTGACAAGTGTCCATATCCAACCTTGTAGTGTAACTACCTCACACACAGACCAAGACTTCCCTCTTATGGGTATACAGAGTGCTGCTTGAATGAGTAGGAACTGCTCTCCTGCTGGGACAGAAACCTGTAAAGATTTTCTGTTAGGGTCACGCATGTTTTGATGCCCATCTATCCTATTCTAGACGTAATCCCAAGGCAAAGTCAAGTCTCATATATTTCTTCGGTCTTCTTTTCCCAGACTTACTGAGCCTGGTTTTCCTCAGTCAGAGGAAAGAGGATAATTTTGCAGTCTCTCTTCCTTCTGATAGTTCCCCCTGTGGCCCTATTCTACCCTAAATTCTGTATTAGTGCCTCCCTGTGCCTCTCCTTGGCCACATACCATGAAAAAAAAAGACAACATTTTTGATAGTTAAAAGAAAAACTATCCTAATTGTGTCTTGTTACTGACATGGCATCACTTTGCAGGCACTCACTTCCCTTTAAAACTTAATTATAATAGGTGATTTGGGTTTCATGTCTCAAGATTGCTTTTTTAAATTCACCAGAAAGGACTTGTTATTGTCACAGGAGGTTTAAGTAATGCATTATATCTCACTTGAGAGCCCCTTAGGAAATAAACACTGTGTTCAGTGTAATAAAAGAAAATTAAGTAATTTTATCATATTTAATTTATGATCTTTTCTTAAAAGGAAAATATAATTTTGAAGGACAGTGGTATAATTAGTCAGTTTTATTTTAATTTAATGTTGCCACAACATATTTTTTTCTAACAGTGTTGTTGTTTTTTAAGTAAGCTCTGTGCCCAACGTGGGGCTAGAATTCACAACCCTGAGGTTGAGTTGCATGCTCTACCAACTGAGCCAGCCAGGTACCCCATTTCTTCCAGTGTTTGGAGTAATTAGAATCAAAAGCTGCAAAGCTCAGAGCTATTATTAGAATGCAAAATTATGATACTTATTAGGTGAAAATACGCCTTTAAATGATGCTTCCATTTTAGGGTAGGGTAGGGTAAGGCTTGCTTCCTTTTAATAATAGTTGACCTCACCTTTCTTAGAAAATAGAGATTTTTAATGGGAAAATGGTGGGGGAGAAAGTGATTACCTCAGTCAGCCATCTTCTGGACAGACTTACTGATTCATGAAAGTTCTAAGGTCTTTCTCCTAATGAGAAAATTAAGAACCATGAGTAAAGTTGATTAAGGGTCACATAGTGAGTGGAAAAAAAGAGCCCCACGCCATTTTCAAGAATCTCAAAAGATGTGCTTGTGTATTTTTGAGATCAATGAAGTGGCTCAAACAAATGGGCCACCCTTAGTTTCTGGGGAGGGGTAAGCTGCTCATTTAAAATGCTCCTTCGAGCCTGTAAATGAAGTACTATTGCCTCACCAAGCATATGTTGGGGTGGGAAGTTTCCAAGAGCAAGCTAAGAAGGTTATTGATTCCTTTTTATTTGAAGGAAAATAAATATACAATTTAAAATCCCTCGGAGTGCTGAAGGGGCTAATTTAGGGCACTCACAACAAGTGAGCTGATTCTAAGCAAGCAATTGCCTTACTGAGCGTTCCTGGCCCTGCAGCGTGTCCGTTCATCAAGTCCTGGTGAAATCCAGGACTTCACTGATGGCTTGTTCTGAGATACAATAAGGGGAATAAGGGGCAGAAGGCAATGCGAAAGCTCTGGGCAGTCCTAACAAAGGTGTGCATTTCTTTGAGCCCCACTTGGATTCAGCCCCTGCTTCCAGGCATCCCCTCTTGCAAGCTTTGCCTTTCTGCTGGCCTCTTTTGCCCTTTCAAACCAATGTGCACCACTGTCTGAGGGCTCTAAGCACAGCCACAAATTGTGAGGGCTGCTGTGTGAACCTTCCTGCTAGCGTGCTCATCCATCTCGACAGGCTGCTCAGGCGCCCAGGGAATCCAGTAGGGTAAAGAAGCAGCTACACGGGAGGTTTTATAGAATGAGGAAAAAACAGAACACTGCAGGGGGTAATGGTGGCTACTGTTCATGGAGAATGTCATCCATTACTTTTTTTTAAAATGAAGGTATTTTTAACACTTCAAAATATTGCAAAATAATGAAGACATAACATTTCACACAATTTATGGATTAAACTGTACTACTCATAAAATGGATAGACTTAAATGCGCTCATGAGCCAGGAAGAATGGAGTGCATTAAGCATTCAGTTCAAGAAGTTAGAAAAAGAATGACAAAGTAAACTGTAAGAAAGTGTGGGAAGAAAATAAGATAAGAACAGACATGAATACATTAAAATATAGAAAAACAGTAGAATTGATCAAAGAGCCAGTTCTAAAGGGAAAAATACCTATTTTTCCTATACCAATACCTATTGACCTGTTGGTCAGTTTAGGTAAGAAAAAACGGGGGGGAAACACAAATGCACAAAATTAGAATGAGGGAAAAAATAACCATAAATATAGCAGTGATATCTGTGTCTCCCTCTCCCCCACTACCCATTACTTACTGAGCACACTTCTGATATGCTGATTTAAAGACATAAGCAATGCCCCTCCTAAAGAGGGCATTTGGTTTCATTTCCCTAATAAAACATGATTGAACTAGAGAGAGAAGTGAAGGATAGCAGAATGTGCCACCCCGAAACATGCCACTTGGGCGTATTGATTGAGCTGTAGGTACTTGAAAAACAGCAAATGCAGGGAGAAACTTTCTCTGAATTCCTTTTATTTGCCTAAAGACAGATCCTCCAAAAGGCACTTAGTTGTCATAAATCCCCTCCCTGAGAATTTCATCAACCAACTTTTATTGTAGAAGAGGATACTAGAAGTCAGCCCCACACCTAGACGAACTGTCCCAAACTATCCTATATCCCATCTAGTCTCCTAGGGGCCCATTCATCTTTCCTAAAAATCATTTACTCTCCCCTAAGAGGCCTACCCCTCCTGCCCCGCCCCTTTTCCTTATTAAGGTGGTATTTAAGCCTGAATTCTAAGCCACCTCTGGGAGTTGCTTATTTTTCCCTGGGTATCTCCCATGTGTACATGAGGTATGCATGTTAATAAACTTCTGTTTGTTTTTCTCTTGCTAATCTGTCTTTTATTACAAGAGTCTCAGCCAAGAACTCAGAAAGGTAGAGGGAAAATTATTTTTCTTCCCCTACAGAAGGAATCCACAGAACGAAATGAATTATTCTTACCTTCTCTGCAATTAATTCTGATCTCCCTAAATTATAAGGACATAGTTGAGGTTTTTATAGCCCTGCCTTCTTGCATGTAATAAGTCATATCAACATCTTTTATCAAATACAATGGGAAGACCACATACAAGTTTGTGTTTTGGAATACTGTAATACTCAGTGGCTGAGAGGAAGCCATGTCCCGGTTTTGTTCTTATGTTCCTGCTTTGTGGGTAGGTCTGATGCCCGTCTTCATAAAGATGACACCGACATTTGCTTCAGTAAAACACTGAACTCCTGCAAAGTGCCCCAGATCCGCTATGCCAGTGTGGAGCGCCTCTTGGAGCGGCTGACAGACTTGCGGTTTCTCAGTATCGATTTCCTCAACACCTTTCTGCACACCTATCGTATTTTCACTACGGCAGCTGTGGTGCTGGCCAAACTTTCCGACATATACAAGAGGCCTTTTACCTCCATCCCTGTCAGGTAGGCTCTGGACTTGCCTGTCGTGGAAGTTGGCTCTCATGGTCCCTGGGTCTCCATGCAGATTTCTACAGGACTGGCTCACCTGGGAACTTACATGCCCTGCCTGTAGAAGGGGGTGGGTTGAGGTCACAGATAGTTCTCCATGGAAGAAGCTGAGAAGCCTAGAGTCCCCAAGTCATCTTTGCTTGCTCCATGATTATTTGGAAGCTAACTGTATTGTTTTAGGCTTTCCTATTTTTTTTTTAACAGTTGGGCTTTTCAAACTTTAACATGCATTAAGAATCACCCAGGGGTCTTGTTAAATTGCAGACTGTGATGTAGCATGTCTGGAGTGGAGCCTGAGTTCTGCATTTCTGACAAGCTCCCCAGAGATACCAATGCTACTGGTCTTTGGGCCACAGTTGAGTAAGCAAGGGATTAGACAAGGCCTAAAATGTGTCTGTATTCCTTCAGCAAGTATGTGGTATATAGGTAGCATTTAAATGAAGTAAATCCAGCAACGGAAGTGTGATGATACTGTGGCCTTTTAATGGAGGGAGCGTGTTCTGAATGATAAGGGAATCCTCTTTACTTAACTGTCTTCTGTCAGTGGCTTCTGTTCTTTCTTTTAGGTCATTAGAATTGTTTTTTGCCACCAGCCAGAACAATAGAGGTGAACATTTGGTGGATGGCAAATCCCCACGCTTGTGTCGCAAATTCTCTTCCCCACCACCGCTGGCTGTGTCCAGGACGTCCTCCCCAGTGAGGGCCAGAAAGCTGTCCTTGACTTCTCCGTTGAACTCAAGGATAGGAGCGTTGGACCTGACTACCTGCTCAGCGTCCAGCAGTCCTACCACCACCCACAGCCCTGCTGCATCCCCGCCACCGCACACTGGCAAAGTACCGTTGGATCTCAGCAGAGGCCTTCCTTCTCCAGAACAAAGCCCGGGATCTATAGAGGAGCCTGTAGATAACCCCCGCATGGATCTGTGTAACAAGCTAAAACGAAGTATTCAAAGAGGTATTATCCAGCTGCCACAGCCTGTGTTTGCTGGCCACCTGCTTCCCCACCATTCCTTCTGGAGCCCTAGATCCCTCTATAGCTTTCCTACTCCTGTGTAGAAAGTAGAATGAATACAATGGCTAGTTAGAAGAGGCAATGCCTGTAGGTCACTTTAGCCTGTGTGGGAAGGAGGGCAAAGTTAGCTGTCCTGGGTCTTTTACAGTAAAAGGCTGATTATAGTCAGCTGTGTATGGAAAGACAGCGTTATCTGAACAGTATTACTGGAAGGGTCCTCATGGAATTTGGTTAAGGCTGGTTGGTAACGAGCCTAACATGATACTTTGTGTAGAGGTAGGAGGTGGGCATCCTTTTCTGGGAACTTGGGCCTTAGAGCCTTCTCCTTCAGTGTCTGCCTTGAACACCAGTACTGCTTCCAGTCTGCCCTGCTGAGGATGACCCAGCCAGAAGCATTAAGATGGCTTCTTCAGTTTAGTTACCAAGGCAGTGCTTCATACCACAACAGAGGTAGAGTGAGAAAAATAAAATTCGAGACAGTGTTCATTGTCCATGACAGCCAAAATGGTTTTTTTGAAAAGGTGAATTAGATATGTTTTCCTGATTAAATTCTCTAATGACTTTCTGTGGCACTTAGATTAAAATCTATTTTCCCTCACGAGGCCTTCAGATACTATGAGACTTGGATCTTGTCTCTCTCTCCAACCCCTGTTCCCATCATGCTCCCTCATCCACAGGGACTTCCTTTTTGTGTCTCAGAAACAGCTCAACCATTTCTGCCTCAGGGCGTTTGCACTTGTTCTTCCTCCTGCCTAGACATGTAAGTTCCATAAGATAAGCAACATTGTCTCTCTTATTCATCTGTGTACTCTCAGTTCCTTGGCCAGTGCCTGCCAGGTAGTTAATTTTTGTTAAGTGAATGAATCAAGCAAAACATTCAGTTAACTAACCAAGGCTCCTGTGTTCTGTCACCTTACCTTTTGCAGCTCAGTACAATGTAGGGGTTAGAGGAGGTGACTTTTGTTGCTTAGTGTTTCTGTGGTGAAAATAAAAAAGGTTTCATAGCCAAATTAGCAAATAGCTTTTTTTTTCTGTATGATAACTGATTTATTTACTGACATAAAAAAAAATTGGGTATTTAATCAAAGTGTCCAAATTTCAAGGAGGATCACCCAGATGGAAGCATAGACCCTTGCTTCTCTACCTGCTTGAAGCTTCTATATATTGCCTAGCTCAGATAATTTAAAAATAAGCCTCCTGTGTGAAGTACTTAATGGAATTTTAACTGGATGGTTGTCATTATCAAAAGTAGCACCCTTTTAAACAAGAAATTCTTTAAATTGACAAGTTAGCAACTAAGGAGGAGGGAAGGAGGAAGATAATTAAAAAGTCATTAGAACAACAAACTTTAGTAGAATCATGATGGATTCTTCTTGGGAATAATGAGGCAGCACGCAAGCTGACAAGTACATTTGGGGTTCCATCCAGCACCAGTGCCTGGGAACCTCTGTGGAGAGAGCAACTTAGGGAAGCTTATCACAGACCTGCCCCCTGGGGCAGGGTGCCCTGGAAAGTAGAGGAACTTCCCCGAATATGGGAAGGTCTGTTCCTTCCTTTAACTGGATTGCAGCAAATAGAAGTCTGGGGGTAAGTCTGGATTCTTGTGTTATTTTGAGTTAGGAGAGCTTTTGGAGTAAGCATGTCATGGCTTTGAGTTTGGTCTGAATTCATGTCGTGGTTCTAGAGGTCCTCAGTCAAGCTGCCCATTGCCCATCGTGGCTAATTCTTCCTCTTAACTTGTTACAGATTGTGACATTGCTCACCAAGTTCCCTAGTTCTGGTATTCAACGCCCAAGCCCAGAGTGTGTAGCAATGGTCCAATGTTTGTCCTACTATATAGGATGGAGGTGTGGTCACTGGTAGGAATCAGTAGTTTTTTCCCCTATTCAAGTTAGACTCAGGGAGACCAAGATAAATGAGAAAGAACTGGATTAAGCTCCGAATGAAGGACACTGACAAAGGTTCCTAGGGACTGGTCAGTGCAGGTGTTGGACAGAGTTGCAATCACTGTGTTCTCAGCTCGTGGCAGCTGGAGAGCTTGTCATTTGGCAGCACTGAGCATTTATGACTGGCGGCCAAAGGTGGAGAAAACCTATGAATAATGGTGTGGTAAAAATATTAGGTTCTCAGGGGCATCTGGGTGGCTCAGTTGTTTGAGTGTCTGACTCTTGGCTTCTCAGCCCAGGTCGTGGTCTCTGGGTTATGAGATCAAGCCCTGTGTGACAGTCTGCTTCTCTCCCTCTCTTCTCCCTCTGCACCCCCCACATCCCCTGAGCTTGTGCGAACTCTTTCTCTCTCTCAAATAAATAAATAAATAAATAATCTTAAAAAAAATTTAGGTTCTCTGCCACATTACAAAAATAGTAGAGGGCTTAATGCCCCGATTTTCACTGGATTTCCCCCAAACAAATGATTTGCAGTTAGATTTTTCAAGAGTTAGTTTATCCATGTGGTTCATGAATTAGAAATGTCATTTTGCTCTTCCAGGTCATTGTTAAAGGCAGAGCTGTTCTCACTCTGGGTGATGGAGAAGTTCCAGGATTGTGTCAAGTGGGACCCATGGCACTTGATGAAGCACACTAGGGCCAACCTCTCCTCCAGAGATGGCAGCTCCTCTACCCTCTTTGTTTCTTATTCACATCCACTAATGTGCACCCCCTTATTGCTCACCAATTGCCCCCCAGTCCTTCCATGCCACTTCTTTACATCATTCTTTCTTATTTTTTTTCAAAATTTTATTTAAATTTTAGGTAGTTAACATACAGTTCAATATTGGTTTCAGGAATAGAATTCAGTGGTTCATCACTTGCATACAGCCTAAAAGTGCCCTCCTGAATGCCCATCACCCATCCAGCCCCTCCCCCATCCAGCTCTCTCCATCAACCCTCAGTTTGTTCTCTATCGTTAAGAGTCTCTTATGGTTTGTTTCCCTCTCTCTTCCCCCCCTTCCCATATGTTCATCTGTTTTGTTTCTTAAATTCCACATGAGTGAAATCATACGGTATTTGTCTTTCTCTGACTTATTTTGCTTAGCATAATACATCTAGCTCCACCCACCCCACGTTGTTGCAAATGGCAAGATTTCATACTTTTTGATGACTGACTAATATTCCATTACACACACACACACACACACACACACACCATCTCTTCTTCATCCATTCATCAGTTGATGGACATTGGGCTCTTTCATATTAGCTTGGCTGTTGTTGATAATGCTGCTATAAACATCGGGGTGCATGTACCCCTTCAAATCTGTTTTTAGTATCCTTTGGGTAAATATCTAGTAGTGCAATTGCTGGATCATAGGGTGGTTCTATTTTTAACTTTTTGAGGAAGCTCCATACTGTCTTCCAGAGTGGCTACACCAGTTTGCATTCCCACCAACAGTGCAAGAGGGTTCCCTTTTCTCCACATCCTCACCAATCTGTTGTTTCCTGTGTTGTTGAATTTAGCCGTGCTGACAGGTGTGAGGTGGTATCTCATCATAGTTTTGATTTGTATTTCCCTGGTGATGAGTGATGTTGAGCATCTTTTCATGTGTCTGTTAGCCATCTGGATGTCTTCTTTGGAGAAATGTCTATTCATGTCTTCTGCCCATTTCTTAACTGGATTATTTGGTTTTTGGGTGTTGAGTTTGATAAGTTCTGTATAGATTTTGGATACTAACCCTTTATCAGATATGTCATTTGCAAATATCTTCTCCTATTCTGTAGGCTGCCTTTTAGTTTTGTTGATTATTTCCTTTGCTATGCAGAAGCTTTTTATCTTGATGAAGTCCCAATAGTTCATTTTTGCTTTTGTTTTCCTCTGGTGACATGTCTAGTAAGAAGTTGCTACAGCTGAGGTCGAAGAGGTTGCTGCCTGTATTCTCCACTAGGATTTTGATGGTTTCTGGTCTCACATTTAGGTCTTTTATGCATTTTGAATTTATTTTTGTGTATGGTGTAACAAAGTGGTCCAGTTTCATTCTTCTGCATGTTGATATCCAGTTTTCCCATCATTTGTTGAAGAGACTTTTTTCCATTGGATATTCTTTCTTGCTTTGTTGAAGATTAGTTGACCATAGAGTTGTGGGTCCCTTTCTGGGTTCTCTATTCTGTTCCATTGATCCAGATGTCTGTTTTTGTACCAGTACCATATAGCTTTGATGACTACAGCTTTGTAATATAGGTTGAAGTCTGGAATCATGATTCCTCCAGCTTTGCTTTTCTTTTTCAGGGTTGCTTTGTCCATTCGGGGTCTTTTATGGTTCCAGACAAATTTTAGGATTGTTTGTTCTAGCTCTGTGAAAAATGCTGGTGGTGTTTTGACAGGGATTGCATTAAATGTGTAGATTGCTTTGGGTAGTATAGACATTTTAACAATGTTTGTTCTAATACATGAGCACCGAATGTTTTTCCATTTCTTTGTGTCCTCTTCAATTTCTTTCATAAGTGTTCTGTAGTTTCCAGAGCATAGATCTTCTACCTGTTTGGTTAGGTTTATTCCTAGGCATCTGACGGTTTTTGGTATAATTGTAAATGGGATTGATCCCTTGATTTTTTTTTCTGTTGCTTCATTATTGGTGTATAGAATGAAACAGATTTCTGTACATTGATTTTCTTTTCTTTCTTTATTTTTAATTATATTTTGAGCAAGAGTGAGAATGTGTGATGGGAGAGGGAGGGGCAGAGAGAAAGGAAGAGAATATTTTTTATTAAAGATTTTATTTATTTATTTAGAGAGTGCGAGCAGGGAGGGGGCAGAGAGACAGAGAGAGAGAGAGAGAGAATCCTAAGCAGGCTCCACACTGAGCACATTTCCTGACCCTGGGCTCAGTTCCACTACCTTGAGATCACTACCTAAGCCGAAATCAAGAGTTGCACTCTTAACCAACTGAGCCACCCAGGTCCCCCTGTACATTGATTTTATATCCTGCAACTTTGCTAAATTCATGTATC